GCCGTCCAGTTGGGCGGCTCTGGGAACATTGAAGTTACGAGGCTCGTGCTTTGGGTATCACAGGTCACGTGCATCGCATCGATCTTCACTTTGACAGACTTCAGCCCATCAGCAACGAAAAAGCATCTCTTCTTCACCTCGTATTTGGCCTTGGGTGGCACGCAACGGCGCTGCGCATTATGTAATCTAGAGGCTGACCTATATCAGAGCACCACGGGAGCCCAGACAAGGATTCCGTTTATAACGGAGCCTCTCCTGGCGTTTCTCGCATCTATAAGTACACCACTAAATTAGCATCGTCCACCCGCCCACTCACTAACAGATGGCCTTATGCCACAAAGAGCTAGACCAACATGCACATTGCAATGACAAAAGGCACATGAAAGCGGCAGATGGACTAGGCTCGAACGAGAGTTGGAGCTCGCAATAACTCCTACAGACTCTCCACTCTCCAACTCCACGGCGGCTGTACACCACCATCATACCTCGGGATCTGGCTCAAGCATCCCACAGACATGGGCAGATGAGACACGGCGATACACTTGCATAGCCATTGCAACTCCGGCGAGAAAGCTTCGGATCATGCTAGCAGACGGAGACTTGTACGCATAAAGTAGGTAGGTCTGGGTGCTTGCGCTTGAACTGACGAACTCCCAAACGCAGTAAGAGATGCAACATTCAAAAGCGCTAACTAGGCTATTCAACTAGTTTAGCATTCATGGCTTCAATGTCCTGTGCATAATAGTCCGATGAAGCAGTCCGATGAAGCATACTGATCACCTCGCCTTGAGAGAATTCGGTATCAGCTGCAGGACAAAGGTAAACACTTTGACACGGGGCCTGGCACAGTGGATATACTTGTCCGGGATCGAAGTACCTACCTTGTACCGTCCGGCAGATATCAAGAACTACGGTAAGGTTAACATTGAGATTTACGTCTATCCATTACGATTATTCTAGACCACAAGAACGCCTCTCGGCACCTCGTCGTACTAACATAAGCGCGATCAAGTTTTTCCCCCCTTGAACCCACGGAATACCGGTCGATTACCGCTGCCGCATCAATGACCCTACGAAGATGAGCACGGGGAGTTAAGTTTGGCGGGGAGGGTGATGTCGACGCGGGCCTCATTGGTGGACCAAGCCCGATATGCGCATGCTAGTACGTTTACCACCCTCGCTCCGAGCCGTACTCCATGTGTGATTACACTTAGACTTTGAGGCCTGGCTCCCCTTGCTGTACTTTGTACCGAAAGGCATCCCGCAATGGCAATTCTGCTTGAGACGAACTGGGCCGGCCATCGGCCACACCTCCTCCAGCAATAGCGCCGAAGCCCAAGCAGAGAGGCAGTGGCCCTGGCAAGGCGCAAGGGTCCTGTTTTCAAACTCCAAGCGCGTTATGCCCTGCATGTGGCCCCAACGGTACTCGGGCCGAACCCCGGAGTTTTGCAGCCACTGACAGAGGCGCCAGCGCTCACGAGAGGCGTCACTGCAACCCATAGACCAGCTATTGATCCGTTGCCTAATGAATTGAGCCTGGAGTCGAGCGGTTCCCATCACGAACCTTGCTACGACGGCCGGGCACCCTACAGTACAGTATATTGGCATCCCATCACTTGCGCACAATGCAACGCTGCTCAGCAACCTTGCCAAGGGCAAGATCTGGGGGATTCCATCATCTGTCAAGCTGTCACTCCGGAGTATATCGCTTCTCCAGGTTTTCCCCATTTCCCCATTTCCCCGTTTCCCCGCCAAATACTCAAAACCTGGTTCATGTCCTCCCAAGCCTCGTCGTCGCAGCTGAATGCGAGCGGGAGAACATCGTCCGATGTTTGAAGAAAGCTGGTGACGCGTGAAATAAAAACGCCGACGTACAACTGTGACGACCACGATCTATCATGACAATTTGCCGTTCAGCCCACCAACAGGAGCCGCTTCTTGGCCTGCGACGCCACCGCGGGGGAAAAGCTTGATCGACCATCCAGGTTCCCCAAGGCAGCTCAAGCGGATGTGGCCTGACTGTTGACATGGACATGAATTGCAACTCAAAGGAATGCCCGTTCGCTCGTAAGAGGGGGAGACCGGTCGACGGCGGACCAATGCTTCAAGGTTGATGTGTTCTAGACTTGCTCGGCAATGGCAAAAGGTTAAACTCAGAGGACTCAAAACTCCGGATTACAAACGAGGGGAAAAGGCAACCATCATTCTCCTCAACTTGAAAATCAGGAGATGACATTATTAAACTTGTTTTCCAACATTGTACCTACTCCGTAGAGCTTGCTCGTGCACCTTCTTCCACAGACAAACGTCCAATCCCCCCCCCGAAAGCTGATACCACAAAGTACTTGGAACTGGGACACGCAATATCGTGAGCAGGTCCATTGGCTCTTGCTCCTCCTCTTGCTCCTCCTCCTTCAGCTGCCGAGCTATTCAATTGGATATTAGGGGTACGTGTATATTGGTCTGTCTGTTCATCAAAGGGAAGTAGGGAAAATCTCTTCTCTTCTGGCACTGCCCCCATCCCCTCGTCCGTCGCCGCCAATGCCGGTCATATCCGCATGACACAGAGAATCTTGCCACGAAATAGATGAAAGAATGCTGATCATGTACTCTCTTCAATAGTCTGTTCAAACTTTTCCTGCCTGCTGCCTTGCCCCCTCAGCAAAGGAGCGGAAGGCCCGCGTGGCGCGAACGCAGACAGACATCCTACAAGTTACACTAGCAATTGAGGGATTGGCTCAAGGGATTGGCGAAAAGAGAGAGAGAAAGAGAGTCTCGATAGACTTGAATGTCAATCTCCCGTTCCCGCTCCCATCTACCCTGTACTTTTTCGCCTGTGCGTGCATGCTAGGGCAGGCAAAAGCAGGTCAAGTGCTCATGGCTTGCGCTTCTGAGGGGCCGATGCCTTTCGTCGTCGAGATGTCCTGCGGCCGACTGGGGCGCGTGTTCGTTCCCCTGTCTAGTGAGCAGCGTCTTATCGTTACTTGATCCAGCAAGGTGGACCCATAATCTCACGTCTGGGGACTCTCATCAAGGCCAATGTCTGCTGCAGTTCAAGCATGCGGTATGGTATGCCTTTTCACTCTTTAGCTCCACGATTGCTTTCTGCCTCTACTTTGGTGGACCGCGGGCCCTCATCCCGCACTTCGGCTGGTCAGAAATATGAGATGTCATGGGGGCATCCATTTCTCCTTCTGCCCTTCATCTATCCACACGGGACTTCGCTTGGCCTAAGACTCACTTACAGGTACACTAGTGCCGCGTCCGGGGCCTCCAAGCTCCGCTTTCTCGCAAGGCATGGCGATACTAATACTAGCTTCTGTCTATGCTTGGATCTTTTGCTTTGCTTGTCTCAAGGCAGCCCTTGTTGGAGTGCGATTCTCATGTCCTCTAATTTATAAGATGGAAGACACGGCCAGCAGCTTTTAGTACTAGTCTGCCGCCTCTTTTTCTTCTGTTGTCGTTGTTTATGTGGTACGTCACTCTCCCTCCTCTTAATCTTAACCCCTTTATCCCAGCGCCTATCCCATGTTCTATTCTAACCAAGGACTTTCTCCAGCATCCTGATAGGGCCAGTGCCTCTCCTGATTCTCTGACGCGATGACTTCTCTTACATGCTCTGTAGGAAACAAGGCTCACTTCGACTTGGAGGGAATAATGATGATTTGCTGGCCTATGGCTCCCATGTCCATATATACACATACATACGTACATACATACTGTACCTGTCTACGGTATGTACATGCGGTACAGCCCAGCCGTTGTTTCTACCCTGCCTGTTCACGTGTGCAAGATGGCCTTCGGAATGGCCCGCTCTCGTCCAGTCTCCCCCAGCACCTCCTCCTTTCCACTAGCAGTACAACGGGGGTGAAGCGCCGAAAAAAACTACCCCAATCGACCCTCCCATCGGCGTCTAGATTGAAAATAATTAGACCAGAAAAAGAGGGGATGAGGAGAGTAATGCCGTCGATGGTGGGAGAAGATCCGGACGTCCGTTGAGGTACACATGGCCTCATCCCTCTCTTTCTTTTCGCAAGGCCCTCATGACTTTCCTAGAGACCCCAAGCGAAAAAGAAGGACAGGCAAAAGGAGGCGGGCGTCGAACAAACCTCGCAGAAGAAAGGAGCGGTCGGCCCCAAGATCGATATGCCTTTATTTTGCCCTCTTTGTCTCACAAGGTGCGTGTGACCCCTGTCTTTTCTGGGGGATGTGTAATCGACAGGAGGGGAAGGCAAATCGGTCATCAAAGGTAAATCATCAGATATCCGCAGATAGCGTGTAGCCGCTTCTTTGTAGGATCCCCATAGTATATCGGACGTCCGGCCTGTCGTTCCATACTGTATGTTGTATCTGACTTGACGCTGGTCGCTAACCGCCAGTGACATAACGTGCTCACGGTAACCAGCCCACTTTCATTGCTTTGCAATAAACATCCCAGCGCCCCCAATTTATATATGTATGGGGACAGCAACAAATAAACAGGTAGGAATGTGTACTTGATGGACTACAGTCCTAAAACAGTAGGAAAAAGAGAGAAATCGTCAGACAAAGAGTGAGGAGAGACAATTAAATCATATTGCTTTCCCGGCGGCTACACAAATAAAACGTTACATACATAAGCTTGGTTATGGTTGCTTTGCCTGCCTACCTCGCCGCTACAACAAAAACGGAAAAAATAGGGTATCCCATGACTGACGATATCGAGTAGTAGTAGGTGTATATTCCATTTTTTAATGGTCCCTCTGCTCTTTAGAATAAATCCAAACAAAGCAAAAGTCTCCCTCATCCATCAAAAAAATCCAAAATCCCGATCCATGCTGCCCTGCCGAAAAGTCTTATATACAACACATTGACGCCCTACTTCCTTGCCTTTCCCTCTTCATGCAGATATATGTACGTAGCCATTGTTTTTTCTCAAATAGAAAAAAATACAGTAGATATGAGAAAAGCAAAAAAAGGTCGTAAGAGCCACCAACTCCCCAAAAAACCGAATCCTTTCGTTACTCCAGTCCCGGCGGCAGCCAGGTATTGATTGTCGTCAAAGACTCACTAAGTGAATCGAAATTGCTCAAATCAGGTGTATCAACCGTAGCACCATCTGCCTGGCCGTTGTTAAACATGAACATCGCATTTGTTGTTGGAGGCGCTCGGGGCTGCTGCTGCTGCTGTCTCATGTTCCAGCTTCCGAAGCTTTGGTGCAATCGCGCCGAATCGCTTAGTAGCCACTCCCGACTGTCAATATTAAGGTGCTGACTCGGGTTGTGGCTCATATTTGACGACAGTTGGCTCTGCGCAGTGGATGATAGGTCTGGGGATTGTGAGTTTAGAGGCATGTTTAGTTGTTGTGGCCATGCGTTTAGTATATCTTGAAAGTCCATTTGCGTTGGGTCCATGGCCATGACTTGCTGGCCGGAAAGAGGATTACCGTTGGTCATAGCTAGTGGCGAGTCCATTGACATGCGCTCCTCAATAGATGTCTGTAGTGCAGGTTGTGCTATAAGCTCCGAGTTCTGGTGTCTAATCTGTCCATACTCGAGCCTGGCAGCCGCAGCTGTCCCTGCTGTCCCTTCCTCCGAGATACCTGGCGATGTAGGTGCTACGTTGCTGCTCGATCCAGGGGATGGAACTTCGGATGTGCTGTAGTATTCAAATCTTTCGTCTGTTCGCTTGAGGATCATCTCTGCGTCCTCTGGTAGTTCGCACCTCCATTTCCTTGCTAGAACACTAAGAATGCTCAGCGTCCGCCTGGCACAGAGCCAATCTTCCGCAATTTCCTCCAGATGTCGAAGACCATGGGTGAGGTCTCTCTTGGCAGTCTTTTCTGGGAGGTTGAGCAGGTGGATCGTGCATGCGCTGTGAATCATATAGACTGCGATATTGCAAATTTGTCGAAGGTTCCATGATTTCTTATATAACCTCATTAATTTGGAAATAGCACCCGCATTTGCAGTACATATTCGCCTGGGAGATATGTGGGAGGGTAGAGGAGATGTGGATGGCGAATATTTCAAGAATGGTCTAAATAGGTGGATATACTGGAGATGGAAGAATGAGCTAAAAAGAAAGAAGAAGTGTTAGTTTGCAACTACTATGTTTTCTCAGTAGGTTGCCAGGTTTAACATGGCCCACTTACAGCATCAATATCACATTTGGCAGCAAGCCTTCCTTTGGCTCGAATTCTTTGGGCAGGTTCTTCCGCCATTCTTCGAGTCGTTGATGAAGCTCGCCAAGCTTCTTGAGTTCAAGAGACTTGCTGCTAGCTCTCTTTATATGGCTCGGATGATAGAAGAAGACAAGTATGTCGCTACTGATTTCACATAATTTTGACAAATGGAGCGCAACTGCTCGCGTTCTTGACGGCTGAGCAAGTGATTCATCGAACCCCTTGTCAGTGAATGGCGACCACAGCGCAGCATCTTCATCGGGGAAGACGTCGATTTTGGAGACTGTGAAGGAGTGTCTAGGGAGTTGCGGTAGGCGGCCCAGGTAGTTGGACCAAGTTTTGTCGAATAGGAAACATCCCCAAAAGGTGATTCGCCGAGCGTCGATCTCTTCTTCCGTCATATGCTCCTTATCCAGCCCATCCACCTCAAGGTTGAGACCAATGTCGAGAGCCATCCTGAAGCTCATGCCGCTGTATACCCAGCCCTTGGCTTCTCTTGCGCATCCCGCCTCTCTCACGGACATGAGGGCCAGAGCTTGTACAGTCACGAGTCGGGGCTTCTCATACTCGTCATTCTCGGTGATGAGTCGTTTAGCCTCAGCAAAGAAGTGGTCTCCTTTTGTCCTGCTGTCTCCGGGGATGCCAAAAGCACCTGGGATATCGGTGAAGTGGCAGCCTAGCGCTAGCATTGCATTGACTAGTAGCGAGGAGCAATATACTGTTCCTGGTAAAAGTCCTGCTTTGCCTCTCATGAAATCACGCCAAAACAGCTTCCGCGAAAGTGTGGTGAAATAGGGATAGTGATAATTGAAATACATGTTCATCAGGTGCATGATGAGGCGTGGGTCGGTGGTGACGCGGGTCCAGGAGGTGATGGGGTTCTCGTTGAATGTCCCCGGCTCTGAGGGCGAGTCGTACGTGAGGTCGTCGTGGTGAGGGTCGCCCAGATAGATGAGATGAGAGGTGCCGCCAATGAAGCGCAGTGAGCCATTTTCCAGGCGCAGCTCTCCCATTTTCCCAGCCAGCTCCCGTTCTCCTTGCACGGGCAAGAACGACATGGCGCTATGGTCAGTCTCATCGTCGAAATCTTCTTCCTTGACTTCAGAGCTCATCGCCAAGAGCTCCTGGGCCACGGTGTCGAGGTTGTCGCATGTCCGGATCTTGTTGACAACTTCGGGGACCTCGTCGTCGTTGGCGTTTAGGATTGCTTCAACAATGATTTGCAGCGTCGAGTTCTGGGCCTTCATGCTGTCAATCTTTTCTCGGTACACTCCCTTGCGGCGATGGTCGGAATTCGGGTTGTAGATGCATTCGGTGCCGTAGACGCTGGCACAGGCGGCACAGCTTGGCAGCGCGCCATCGCACTTGGACTTGCGCCGGCGACAGGCAACGCAGGCGGTGCTGATGCATCTTCGCTTCTGGCTTGCCGAATCGGTCCCTCGACGGGCCTTTTTCTTTGGCTGGGCCGCGGGCGTAGACCGGGCTGAGGATGAGGCGGCGAGCGGATCGCTCCCGTCCATGGTGGCCTGATGGATGGATAGACAAATTGATAGACAAATTGATTGATTGATTGATTGATAGATAGATAGATTGATAGATAGAGAGATAGATAGATAGGTGGACAGACGGATAGACGGATAGATAGGGTGCTTAGAGCAGGAGAGGCGCGGCGCAGCGAGATACGGTACTATTAGATATGCGAAGTACGCAGGACAAAATGGCCAAATCGAGCGCTAGCATCTGATACGTCGGCACGCGATGTCACATCGAGCTTCTGAGATATGTCTGCAGGGTTGGACTGGTTTCGGGAGATGTCTTGGACAGTCGCCCTTGGGATTGTAGGCAAGCAATCCGTCTGCCGAAGGTATCGCGACTTCTGGGTCTCTGCTCCTGGCAACGGGACCAGCCAATGGCCTCTAGTGATTTGTCATTCTGCGCCCTGCAGGCCGTGATCGAAGCTGGAGCAAGTCGGCCGCCGGTTGGTGAGCTCGGCGCACTCGGAGGCCAGAGACTGAAGAAAGCTGCAACAATCTGCAAATGCGGGGATGGCTCCAGCCACCCGGTCCAGCGTCTACAAGATGTTCCAACGGCGAGGCTGTAGAGCAGAGAATTGGTGTCGTCTTCGAGGGCAAAGGGGTCCGAGGGCAAAGGGGTCCAATGGCAAAAATGGCGCGAAACAGCAAGGATCCAGAGATGTGGATGTGAGAATTACATGAAAGAAACACAAGTAGAACAAAAGCTGCGGTAGGCGAGAGGTGCAGAGTGGGAGGAGGAGAATTAAGAGTTGCAAGGATTGGCGGCTTAAACCTTGGAAGGGACGTAGGTACCAGCAGCGATGCCAAATCGGTTTACCGGCCCCCAGACAGCGGCCACATGCCCTGAAAGCCTTGAGCGTTGCGCTGTTTTGCCGCCAGAGCGCACCGGTTTGAGCTTCTGCAGCTGTAAGGCAAATCCGACAGCCGCGATTGGGTGCTTTGGCCAAGGTTGTTAATCAACAAGTTTAGACTGGGCTGGATTCCATTTTTTTTTCAGCCCCGGACGACGGCGCACAAACGGCGAGTGCCGCTAGACCGGGACTGCGGTCGCTGGGAGTTTACCCCAAAGACAAGGCAACCCCCGGCGTCTGGTATGGCAAAGTTTTTACAGCGTCTGACACAGACCGCGGCGCCACTTACATGCCCGTTCATCACCAGCCAGACGGCGACTGAATCCACGGCTCTTCTCAAAGCCTCCAACAAGAAGCAGAAAGGAACGGCTATTGATGAGCTTGGAATTGGGTTGTTGGCAGTACAGCAGCTACAGGTCTGTCTATTTGTCTGTGTGTCTGTCTCTAATGCTACTGTCAAGTCTGTTACTCCTGGATTGTACGACCACGAGACAAAGTGGTTGCATGAGAGAGCTACCAGATCTATTCTCGGAGTAATATCGCCTTTTAGTGCAGATCATTATGTATTTCTCTCTGTATTTTGCCCTTGCAAAACAACAAGATGAAAGAGTCGTCACAATTTAGCCCACGTGAGGCTCCCTCTCAAACACAAACAGGCGATTATCAAGCATGCATCGCCCTTCCCCATATTTGCCGCGGAGAATTAGTAGCCGTCGACCGCTCCAGGCTAAGAGTGAGTAGCCGAAGCGACGCAGGCGAGAATACCCAAGCGCCTTGCTGTATTAAGCTCCAGTCTCATTTGGTGTCCTGTTGCGGCTAGCTAAGACGGCATGAATGATGTTTCGTCTCTCTCTCTCTGTCTGTCCGACGTCTTACAAGTCAAGCTTGAGGTTACCTATTAACAAGTCACTTACCAAGTTACCAGAAGTACTACTAAGGGTAATGGACAATAATCGAGTCGAGCTTGAAACGCCTTACGAAGCTAGAAGATCAGTGCATGTGATGAGCCATATTCTAGAATATTACGCAACTACGCATGCACATCCGCGAATCACAGTGGCCAAAAGAGTGAGGCGAGTTATAGTATCGGGCTACTACCATGAGTGCCCTATACTAATCCTATATTGCAGAAAGGTTATTCTGACTCTGAAATGGTAGCCGTTTACTATCTAGTGGTGGCACTGTAAAAACACAATGCTCCATTCCACTATTGCTAGTTTTGTCATTCAAGGCTTATTAACTACATGCAAACACATGACAAATCCTTCTTTCAAAGAGCCAGGTTACACTAGAAAAGAATATAGCTGAAGGAGAGAAAACAAGGCTAAAGTAAAGTGTCTTGAATTTGTCAGGAAGCTTATGCCCACAACGTTGCAAATTTGTCTCTATCCGTTACACCCATTTTACCCGTTATATCCATCTCTACGTTGAAGGTGCTTTAGTAACCAAGCTAGAGTCTTCCTTGGCAAATTGTATGTATCGTCGACTCAAAAGAAAGACGTAATTACGTAGCATACTACTGCGCTGCCATTGGCAGCTCTTCCCATCTACGCCTGATACATGGTAGTATCAAGAAGCCCTATAGAGCCGCAACAAAAGGATGTCTATCAATGACCTCATCTCCTTGAGATACATACCTGTTTCTCAGAATCATCACAATTACACTCTACGCTGACTCAAGCACATAGTAGTTATTTTGTATATACTATTACATGCCGAGGCCTGGAGCAAATTCCAGTCCCAGCTTCATCATCATACATAGCCTACATAGACTTTCCTTTCCTTTTCCTTTTCTTCTAATTTGGCGCCTTTTTGCCTTTTTCTTCTCTGTAAAAGTTGTACATCATGATATATACATCCACCTCCAAATTGCCCCTCTCCCAACGCTCCCTACCTATGCTTAGCCACGCTCAAGGTACCAGTTGTGGGTCAGTTGGCTCGTCAAGTAGCTGAAAGGTGTTGGCACCTCAGCCATACCCTTTCGTGCAACTGGGTGTCGCAGGTAGACGGCAGCACAAATGTTGGGGTTGACTTCGAGGTATCGAGGAATGAAGGCAAACGCTGACATGTAAGGGCGGGGCCTCCATGGGGTAGCATAGGGCTTGGAATCATCAATAGGATTTTCTTCGTCGTACTGAAGCAGGCGTGCCAGCTTCCTCATTTCCTCTCGAGATAGCTGAGCGTCGCCCATTATTCTCTTGGCCTTGGTCTTCTGCTCGTCCGATAGGCCTTCTAGTCCCTTCTCCACCTGTCGTTCTCTGCTGAGCTCTGACTGCTGCTCACCCTCTTCCACAGCGGCGTTGGCGCTCTCGGCTTCAGCTTCGGGCTGGGTCTGATTCTCTTTCAGGCTGAGCTTCTCAAAGCTCTCTCGCATCAGCTCATGGCTCTTCATTTGTACCTGCAGTTCGTCAATGAGCTCAGTAATATTGCCCTCGCTCTTCTCTGGCTGTGAGAGGAAGCGCTTGGCATCTGCGCGGAAAAGGCGGAGCTGCTTCTTCTCCTTGGCGGTAAGGTCCTTGGTGTTATTCTTCAAGATCTTCTTGACATCCTTTAGTAGGAATTTCAAGGCTCTGTTGTTCAACTGCCACTGGGCTTCCGGAGTCAGCGACCCAGCGTCTTCAGCAGCAATGGTTTCGCCTTCAGCAGCTTTGCCTTCGGCAGCTTCACCTTCAGCAGCGGTAGCCTCAGAGTCAGCCTTCTCGCCTTCCGTCTCTCCTTCGACAGCAGTGGCACCGCTTGTCTTCTTCACGGCATTCTCGTATGCTTGCTCTGCCTTCTTTTGTCTAGCCTCGAGGTTCTCACGGAGACGCGAATTGCCTTGCTGTGCTTTCTGAACGCCTGTTCCGTACATGACTTTCTCCGGATCTACCTGGAATAAGTCGCCAGGGTTCAATTGGTAAGACGGATGGACCATCTGCGTGATTGTTAGTAAAGCGTACATGTTGGTCAAGTAAGCCAATTAATAAAGCTGCGACGCACCTTCTTCCCATTGACTGTCACGGCTCCGTGAATAACGAATTGACGTGCCTGTCGGACACTGCTGGCGAACAGCGCTCGGAATACTGCGGTATCCAATCTCCTCTCCAGCGGCGCAAACGTCATCTGCATATAGGGAGTCATGTTGTTGAACTGATCCGACAACAGCTTGTTCACATCTCCGAAGATTGCCCTCTTCCTTGAACGCTCTTGAGTGCTGAGCTTTGGGACTTTGGAAAAGGTTTCGGCTGAGACCGTCGTTGTTGTCAAGCCGGAACCACGTCCAGCAGCCTGTTCAGAGCCATCGTGCGCCGCCAGGTAATCCGGCGGCATGTCCACGGCAGAAAGAAGTCGGCGAGAGAAGAGCCGCACCCATTTTTTTTCCGGGATGTGCTCTCCGTGATATGATCGAGTCTTCGCCTTGGCCGCCCATTTCTGCTGGAAGAAGGTCGGTGTGCCTTTGATTTGGGGTTCTCGGCCTGTCTGGCGATACAGGTTATACAAGTTGTACTTGTTCCATGATTGTCGCAATTTCTATAAGAGTTTGCCAAAGATCAGTAACCAGGATCCCCGCCATCATGATGCCGCGCAATTCCTGCGCCGTAGCTGCTGAGAATACAGCATCGCAAATGAAGGTATGGCCTTGAACTTACAGGGCGACTTAAACTGTAGAAACGGTACGGCTTTCTCATCTTGGCGAGCCGACCGGCGACAATTGCAGCTTGACGAGATCACTGGAGGCCGTTGTTTAGAGCTCAATATGTGGTTGTCATTTTTTCTGGTGGTGCCATCCAGCCGGAATTCTGCCGCCCGGTGTGGCGCTTCCCGACCGACTCACCGAGCGCCACCGATTGCGGGGCCACTCAACGCGTCTCAGCCCACTTCCCGCAGTGAGACGCGTCGAGACTTTTCTAGGTGTACTGCAGGCAAAGACATTCGCCTTGACCCAGGCCAGTGACATTTTTCAAGTTCCTCTTGTCTGTTTTTGTGTGTTTATTGAGTGTCATTTGTGCCATTGAAATCGCAAATCAGCCAAAATGCTCTCTGCATCCTCCCCTATCATCTTCCCAAGCGACCCTCCTACTCCTCCACCCAAGCGCGCCAAACCTCACGATATTCAGTATCCGACACAAAAGCCCCGAGTTGCTGGACCATTCGTTGACTCCGAATCCGAATCAGATACCGAAATTGCGCCTCGAGCTGGCTCAAGGTCCCCTTCCAAGAGGCGTAAGATTCAGGATCAACCCGACAAGTCACCACAGAGCCCTAGATCTCGCGCTCGAGATGCGAATCAAGATGCCAGTGACAGCATTCGCCGGGATGAGAGTTCAGCCATCGATGACTCGACAGCTGAGTCAACACCAACAGAAGATACCCAGGCTACTTTACTCCCAACGGCACCCCTATGGGCCCAATCAGATTCACTACTTACAACACCCATCTTTGGAACTCGCTCGATGACTACTTACAAACTGAAAACTTGCGGAGGCCGCGAAATCACAATAAGACAGCGAAAAGAAGTCGCTGCTCAAACTTACGAGTCTATGGTAGCGGCTAGATCGAGGACAAAAGAAGGACGGGCGAAACGAGACTACTATGGCGTTGATATACACAACCTCATCAACGCTGCCACGAATGAAATGGCAGAGAGGAGCAACAACCCACCGTCTCCAGACACCAACCAAGCTGTTCGACAGATGGAAGCCGCATCAATATCAGAGAAGAAGCCGAAGAAGACTATGCTATGGACTGAGAAATACCGAGCAAGAAACTTTATGGATTTGTGCGGAGACGATTCCACAAATAGACTTGTTCTGCGCTGGCTCAAGAAGTGGGATCCATTAGTCTTTCCAGGCACGGCCAAAGCGAAACCCAAGATTCAGAGACGCAATGGACCCAGTTCTCAAGTGGAAGAAGAGAAGCCTCATCGAAAGATTTTGATGTTGACAGGGCCGCCTGGCCTGGGCAAAACAACACTAGCTCACGTCTGCGCCAAACAAGCGGGATATGAGGTGATTGAGGTCAATGCCAGTGATGACCGCAGTCGTGACGTGGTGAAGAATCGTATTCGGACCAGCCTGGGGACAGAAAGTGTCAAAAACGTTGGCAACCAAAAGGCTCTGAACGGCCCGCAAAAGATTGCTAAGCCTGCGTGTGTTGTGGTAGATGAGGTCGATGGTGTGGTGACAGGATCTGGAGCTTCTGGAGAAGGCGGCTTCATCAAAGCGCTGATTGACCTGGTACTGATCGACCAAAAGAATGCCTCAGGGGTATCAAAGACTTACGAAGGCAAAAAGAAAAAAGGCGATGACTTCCGTCTGATGCGGCCCTTGATTCTTATATGCAATGATGTATACCATCCCTCTCTGAGGCCGTTGCGACAGTCAAACCTGGCCGAGATTATTCACGTTGGTCGACCAACACTGGACACTGTGGTGGGTCGGTTGAAGACGGTGTTTGAGAAAGAAGGCATTCCCTGCGACAAAGACGCAGCACGCAAGTTGTGTGAGACAGCCTGGGGCATGGCTAACGGTATCGACGCAAGGCGAGGCCAAGAAAGCACCGTGCAGGGTGATCTTCGAGGTATCATGGTCATTGGCGAATGGGTAGCTTCGCAGTTTAGAGTCTCAAGCTTGAATGCTACCCAGCGTCTTACCAGAGAGTGGATCGAGCGAAATATTCTTCAGGAGCTCGCCAACGGCGCGGCGGGGGCTCGTGGCCTCGGACGAGGCAGCGTCAAGGACATCATCACTCGCCTTTTCCAAGAGGGCGGCGGGTTTCCCAAGCAGGCACTCAACTTGTCCAAATCCAAGACGGCGCACGAACAGCCAAAGACGGAGCTCGGATTCGGAGAGCACCAAAAGAAATACGCAATGGAGTGTCTCCGGCAAATGATCGATGCCAGCGGCGATATCAGCCATGTCGTGACGGAAGTATTTGCAGAGTATCCAAACCGCGAGTTCAATGACGATTCTTACCTCACCAAACCGAACCAAGCCTACGACTGGCTGTACTTTCATGATGCCTGTCAATCCAGGCTGTTCGCCAGTCAGGATTGGGAGCTCTCTCCTTACTTGGCCCAACCCGTCCTGGCCTGCCACCACCTATTTGCATCGCCCAAAAGGCATTATGCCAGTAACTTGGCCAATGGCCAGCGAGCCGGAGAAGAAGACGCCGGCCCTTCAATACCATTCTCTGGCCCACGCGCCGACTATCAGGCTTTTGAGGCTGAAAAGCAGACCCGCGCCCAACTACAGTCTCTTCAAGGCCAGCTCAGCCCAACCATGATGCGCTTGTTCCGCAGCGCAGAAGACGTGGCCACGGAGTTCCTACCTTACCTTGCCCGCATGCTGGCGCCAGACGTGAAGCCTGTGGTTGTAGGCGGCAGTCAGGGCACCACGGCTAGTGTGCGCAAGGAGAGCGAGCGAGCCATGGTCAAACGCGCCTCGGAGGTGCTGGCAGATGTCGGCATTGCCTTGCAAAAGGGCAAAATTGAGGCCGAAGTAGCATCTAATCGGGGGCCACAGTTTGTATACCGCATGGACCCGTAAGTCTCTTTCTTCCTTGTGACATATCTCCATCATATCTTGCATATAAACGGCAAACTAATGAATCAATTCTATAGCGACATTGATGCCCTCTCAACATATGAAACAGCCTCTCTCCTCACCTCCCAGCCCCCAACCCGCTTCGCCGTCCGCCAGGTCCTCGACCAAGAACTCCACCGCACGCTCGCCATTCGCGAGACAGTCGCCCGCCAAGCACGCTTCCGAGCTGGACGAGTCGTTGGCGAAAGCGACCAGCACCAGCCACAGTCGCTTACTCAACCGTCAAAAGACGACATGGCGATTGTGGAAGACGGCTTGGTGGTGAAGAAGGACTTTTTCGGGCGCATTATCCAGGCGCAGCCGCTGGCGGAGGTGACGGGCGGTGCGAGGGAGAAGGCGGCGACTCAGGAGAAGGTGTGGGTGACGTTTCATGAAGGGTTGAACAACGCGGTGAGGAAACCGATGATGCTGCGTGAGTTTTTGAATGGGCTGTGAGTTAGAAGCTTTGAATAGAGAGGGGAGGTGTGTTATAAACATGATTTGAGATGAAATTGTAGATACGGGACGTTTGAATAACGAAGCTCAAATGAAAAGCACCGCTGTATTGGATACTTGATGAAATCGACGAAAGAGAATCACGATATAAAACACATACACATATTGCTCGTTTATACATTATACATACATACATCTATGCATCCATGTCTTCCTATCTTTACACTGAATTCATCACAGTTTCGCTTTAAGTCTCTGTGCAGGAACAATCAACGGATCATACGTCGTCAACGAGAGCGAATCCACCGGCGTCGCATTCGAATGCATAAACAGACTCCTGGTATCCAGCAGCCCAGGGTGCAGGTCTTCAATCTTGGCCGCGCCAATCAGCCGCATGTTCATTTCCATCTCGTCCTTGAGCAGCTGCATGACGCGCTCCACGCCGGGCTGGCCGTACGTGCTCATGGCGTAGAGGAACGGGCGGCCGATGCCGACGCCCTTTGCGCCGAGGCACAGCGCTTTCAGGATGTCCGTGCCGCGGCGCACGCCGCCGTCGACAAAGACGTCAATCTTCTTGTCCAGGCCGTGCTGGCGCAGGACGGGCATCGTCTCGGCGAGGATCTCGATGCCGGAGCGCGCAAAGTCGAGCTGGCGGCCGCCGTGGTTGGACAGCACCACGCCCTGGACGCCGGCCTCGGCGGCGCGCAGGACGTCCTCGACGCGCTGCACGCCCTTGAGGATGATGGGCATCTTGGTGATGCTCTGGAACCAGGGAATGTCGGCCCAGCTGAGCGACGGGTCGATAAAGGTCGAGATTGCGCGTGCGGCGCCCTGGCTGGTGTCTGTCTTTTGGCCCTTTTGCACGTTGCTCCCCGTGTCGGTGAATTTCAGGCGCATGTCCTTTTCGCGACGGCCGAGCTGCGGTGCGTCGACGGTGATGAAGAGGCCCTTGCAGCCGCGCCGCTCGGCCTCCTGGACAATCTTCTTGGTGATGGAGCGGTCCTTGTTGACGTACAGCTGCAGCCACTGGACCTGGCCGCCCTGCCTGGCGTCGACCAGCTCGTCAAAGGAACATGAGGCCAGCGTGGGGATCATCTGGACGACGTTGTGCTTGTGGGCCGCGCGGGTGAGGATGACTTCGCCTTCTGGGTGGCCGAGCTTGCCTAGGGCAGTGGCGGTGACGTAAAAGGGGGCGTCGACTTTGGAGCCGAGCATGGTGATGGAGAGGTCAATGGTTGAGACGTCGACGAGGATTTGCGGACGGAACCAGATTCTATGGTAAGCACTGTGATTTTCACGCATAGTCTGAAGAACAAGTTAGGTCAATGCTATTCAGGATCATGCACAAGACTCACAATCTCATCATCAGCTGCGCTTGAATAATATCCCCACGCAGTCTTCTTCATGGTTCTCCGCGCAATGGCCTCAAAGTCGTGCAAGTTGAAGCATTGTGACAGCGACGGCATCTCCGCTATCCTCTGCTGGCGCTCCGCTTCTTCGGGGTCGTCCTTCTTGGCCTCCTGGGCGACGGTGGACATGTCTACGGGGCCGAGATGCTTGGATTTCTCGAGATACTTGTCCAGCGTGTCTCGAGGATGAATGGGGTCGAATTCTTCTGTGGCATCTTTGCCCTGGAGTTGGGGAGAATGTTATATTAGCAAGTATGCTTGATTTGGAACGAGATAAGATTGGGCATGAGAGGGGATTGCGCATACGGCATATTTGAGAATGATTTCTTCGCCTCCGGGGTGTTCTGTTTTCATGAAGCCACAATCAGCATTTGTTCGTTGAACGAATGAACCGCGTCTGTTCCCATAATGGCCGTACCTGGCAAGAACTCTGTCACATCATATGCTTTGCCCTGGTGAGAGTCAGTCAGTTGGGCCCAGTCAATGAGACGAGATGAGAGACTCACATGAATAATCACCCAGCATGACTTTTCGTCAGCGTGTTTCGCGACATCGTTGCCTGTGAGCACCATCTTTTCTTTTGTATCCGCTGTCTCAAGACTGTTCCTTTAGATGCTGATGACGTTTCAGCAACCGGTAGTTCTTATCGATTGGTTGCTTAAACAAGGAAGCACAAAAGAATGGCGTCAATTGGATCAATTGCCAAACGCAGTGTTTGACCAAAGAGTGAAGGACAGGATAATAATAGACGACGCTGCAGTAAATTAGCAAAATATACTGTTGTCTATATCAAAGATGGAAGATGGAAGCGGAAGAGAGAAGTCGTCGCGCTTCGGTTGTCGCTTGTCGTTACTGGACTATATACGGTATGCGTGATAGGCCGGATTTGGGAGCAACATCATTGGCCGTCGGCTAATATTATACCCAAGCGGCGCCTTGACTAGCGATGGTGGCTTCTACGGGGAACAAGGCCTGGAAAAGAAATCCACTGTTTCGTTCTTGGTGCAGCCGACGGATAGAAACGAATTAATATTTTGCTCGTAAGAATTCAAACGTTATATCTAAAAGTATGCAAATTCTTGTTCAATTGTAACTACCATATAGTAGTCCATAAAGCATATCAAAGAGCACTGCTAAAGACTGCCAGTGCATTCTCCAAAGTCCTCCAAAAAGCCAGTATCTCCGGGCCATCCCCGACGATCGCCAAAATACGACTCAGCGCCTTTTCTAGCGGTCGAATTAGCGACCTCCAATTTTTCTCCTTCTTCCCGGCCCGCCCAGACGCCCTTCTGCGGGGTTGCAGACAAGATCCGAACTCGGGTTCTCCGCAGATTCCTCGCTATTGCTTTTCAAGCATAACTTCTGTGCTGTTTATTTCCCCTTTTTGTTCGGCTTGTGGCGAAATCAATTATTCAGCCTACATTGAAACGTTACGGGGAATCTGGGGAATAAGAGCAATAAGAGCAATAATTCTAGTACCAAATGTCTAGACAGTAAACATCACTTCATGGAAAGAGAGTAAAACCCAGGCAAGGAAATCGATATTATCAACGCCTTCAATATACCCATTGTCTACTTGTATATCCGTCTCTTCTTTTTACGGCCCACAGATCTTGGCATACAATCCTCTCTAGGAACCTTGAAACTCTCCTCTGTAATCTTCTTGGAACATCTTCGCTACATTAACATCTATGCTAGGCACCATTCTCTCTCTCCTTTGCTTATTTGAAACTGGTATTATCTTCGTCCAACTAACTGGCCTATCTCCGTACACTTTTTAATTCTTGTCACCTTTCCCTGCCAATAATCACAGCATCACCACAGTCATCCAACTATTTCCATGCATTCAATCCAGCCCATGGATCATGTGCCTGTTGCTGTTGGGCTGACCGGGGCTGTGCGCTCTGAGGATGGCCAGATGAATGATCATAATCTTGTTGACCAAAGTGGATAGTCTGTTGAGGGCCCAATGGGGGAGGGCCTGGAGGAGGCGGCGGCGGAACAAAGCCAGGAGGTACGTAACCCACTTGGGGGAGCTGCTGCTGCTGTTGCGGTTGCTGCTGCTGAGGCTGTGAAGGTAACGCGCCGTAGGTATTGTAGGTCTGGTGCTGTCCGAATGATGTTTGTGTTGGAGGAGGTGATTGAGGACCTCTCATGGCATTCAGATTGAAGGATGTTTGATTGGGAGGAGGCGACGTCGGGCCGGGATTTCTGCCATACGTGCTTGGGTTGTATACGGGTTGCGAAAACGTACTCTGAGGAGGAGGGCTGGTGTAACCGGGAAAGCTTTGCTGATTGGGTGGTGGGGATGTCGGTAGCTGAAACTGTCCCTGATAACTGTTGCTATTGCTTCTCTGGGCGTATTGAGTAGCCTGGCCTTGCTGCTGCTGCATCAGAGGCGCAGGCGTTGGTCTTTGTGAAGGCGGCCTTGCTGGCACTGCTGGCCCTGCTTGCGACGCCTGTCCAGGCTCAACTGACATGCGCTCCATAAGGCCACGTAGGCGCTCTCGTTCTAGTTCTGCTTGCTGACTTTTGTTGGATGATCGCTCCTGTTCGATCTGATTGAGTAGCTGTGCGCCTTCTGATCTCCGGTTGTTTACGAAAGTATCCACATTCTTCTCAAGGCTTTCTACCGTTTGCCTCATCTCAGAGTACCAGTTTTTGGCGCTCTGCAAGCCTGCTTCCAGATCCAAGAACTCCTGATAGGCGCGCTTATACTTGCCAATGGCTGATAACCGCTGTCGCTGGATCAACTCGTACTTGCTCTGCTCGGCTCGCACGCGCTTGTCTTGCAGCAAAGTGTTAAAGGTAGCAGTGAGTTCCTTCATCAGGGCGGACTGCTTGTGATTTGCCTGGAGTAAGCGATTCTGGTGAGGCCGAAACTTTTCCAGTTCCTGCTGAAAAAGCTGCTGCTCATAATTTGCTATTGTCTTTTTGTTAAGGATGAGGACTTGTGAGATGTCGTCGTTATGGATCTATTATTTCATTGTGTTAATAAGTCTCTGAGTCTTCCTCCATGGCGCCAAAAAAAAAAAAAAAAAAAAAAAAAAAAAACCATAGCTCTCACCTTGTCCTTTAGATCCTTGAGCACTTGGTTCCGCTCTCTCTTGATCAAATTGAGCTTCTTAAGGATTTCCTCGACTCTTGCTATCTGCTCCACGACTGTCGGCCCAGATTCATCAAAGTCCGCATCAAGTAGGTTTGGTTCGTTTCCGGACGGACTGACAGCGTTGCTCCCTCTAGCTTTGGCCTGCGAGACCGCTTTGGAGAAGAGCTGGTCGACCTGCCCGTTGGCCACGGCGTTTCGCATCTCGTCAAACCACGCTTCGTTTTGGCGTAACTTTGCTGCTAACTGACTATCACTCCGGCTGGCTTCCTCCAGAGCCTCTCGGTAGTTGCGAATATCACCTCGCAGCGTCGTTGTAAGGCGTGCACTCGGTTGTTGACTCCACTCGTTTTCGTACTTGGACCGCATCTTCTCGCACACACTCTCCTCCATGTCCAGCTGCTTGGAGCTCTTGTCCAGAATAGACACAACGGATTCCTTCTCACTCCGCAGAAAGTCAAAGATGCTCACTGGATTCTCATGATTGGCAACATCTTCACACCACTGCCGGAAGTCTTCGTCGGGGAGAATATCCTGATCGAAGCCACCTTTCAATACCTGCAATGCCCCAGGAAGTCGTAGATAATCCAGACTTGCTGCCATTTCTCCGTTTGCAGTGTCTACTTTTTCCGTCTCGGCTCTCACCAGCTTGGCCTTCTCTTCATCGTACAAACTGGCAGACTCTGTAACGGCCATGGGGACAATCTTGGAGAACAGATCGGGTCCGGTGATGCGCTGGATATCCTGACCAGCGTAGAGCTCGCTGACGGGGATGGGCTTTGCAGCTGGCAGCTTGGCAATCTGGGGTAGACTAGCCTCGGCGGGTATTGTCTGGTGGTAGATGTAATCGTTATCCTTGATGGCCTCTCGCAGCCGCTCCTGAACCGTGGAGCACTGTCGCTTTGTTAGTTCTTGGAGATGCGTGCTGCAGTCAGCGCCAAGATTGGCATTGGACGGCACGGTACTGGGGAAGTTTTTCGCTAATCTGTCGGCTTCCTTGGCGAGGCTGTCTGCGACCTGAAGTCGAGATAGCGCCACGCCATGTTGGCCGGCGTCATCGTCGGTCACTGCCTGGAAATATTCCGCCATGGAGTTGAGCAGATTGGCCTTGATCTACATTGTTTTCAATTTCCAAGTTAGTCATATCGTGCACAGAGAATGATTTTTTTTTCTCTCTCATCTCATTGAGAAAGTGGACACAATCACGCTTTCCCGGCTTACCTGAACCATTGTCAACCAGACTTTCTCAAATATGGCCTTTGTGACATTCTCCTGCACGCCCTCAATGGCCTGACCATAGAGATACCCAGACTGCGATGCCAACTTGGCCAACAACCCCGGTTTCTTCTGGTCCTTGATCTGCTTCTCCAAGAAGATCTCCTGTGCCTGAGCAAGCATGACATGTATCAAACATTTGACCGTCTCTCGGCTTAGGTCAAATGAAGGAGCGTGCAGAAAATTCTCATTGATGTAAGTGAACATGCCTGCTGACGCTTGGAACGAGTGGTAGGCCACTTTCAGCGCAGAGTCGTCTTCTCGATTCTGAATAGCAGCGTGGCCGGAAAGAACAGCGGAAATATTGAAGATGACGGAGGCCTTTTCGAATGCGAGGGAATATTGTGTCGTAGGCTTGTGGGTGAATGCATCGAACCTAAATCAGGAGATTTATGTCAGTTAGCAATCGTCTCCTCAGGCAGCTAGCCATGGCAAGCCCTTTCAAACTTTGGAGATGATGTTCGTACCAAGTGAATGAAATCTTGATATGCTGCTCGTCCACAGGGAACCGCAGGTCCAGCAGCTCCAGCTGTCCATAGTAGCGATAGAGCATATCCCTCCCAGTGGTGCTCTCTTTCCCCGCGCCTCGCATGTCCTGCCTCAGGCGGTTGAGCGTCACGCACTCCTCAGCATATCGCTCGGGGTCATCGCCGTACGTATCGCGGATGTAGGTCTTCAACGGCGAAACCCAGTCAATCTCATTGGTTGCCTTGGGCGGCGCGGCTATCATGGGAGACTGCGTCATCTTGTGCGACTGGCGGTAGACTCAAACAAGGCCACGGCTGAGACGTCCAGCAAGTCGCATGCGCGTCGGCCAGCGCGGAGGACAAGACGTCCAGGCGGGAATACAGCAGCGCGGTGCGATGACAAGCTGCACGAGAGAGAAAAGCAGTATCGTTATTGTATGTCGGTAGACCCTTTGTTGCGGAGAGGAGGCGTTGCGGAGAAGAGAGAAATAGGCGGGATACGAGCTATAAGCGAAGCGGTTGATTCTCTGGTAAGCAAGTTTCGGGCGATGGAGAGATTCGTCGACAGCAACGAATGGGCCGCTTCAGCTTGAGAGAAGACGACGAGGCGAGCTTGCGTAGGGGTCTTGCGTATGCTCGAGCTGTTTTGTGCGGAGGTAACGTAAGGTAGCTAGCTTGGTGACACCTTTTCGGTATGTCCAAGTAGCTCGCGGCCCTTACTCAGGTGTTTGGATTCCGAGGCGGGGTTCCCTCAGCAATGGGATGAGGAGCAATCGAGATTGATGCTGAAAGAATGAAGAGTAACAAAGTGATGAGGCGACGGCTTGAAAGAATCAACTGCTGTTGTTTCCGTCCAGACGAACCTTGAGCAGCGAAGGAAGCGCCAAGTAAGCTGGGTTGGTGGCTGGTGATTTGCCAATGATGTAGGCGGGACTACTACAGCTACGGCAGAATTCCAGACCCATAAAGGTGGTGATGCCACTCTCCAGAATAGCCGCTGATGGGGGTTGGGCGACAAAGCTGCTGGCGGCAGCGGGGGCCCGGCGCCTGTTAGGCATGATGAGCTGCTGTAATGTGCGCCACCGCCCACTCCAGGGGGGGCTCTAACAGTCGCTAACGCCGCCGTGAATAAAAAGCGGCGCGCTGGTCTGGGTCGTTAGCGGGGATGTCAACCTGGAAGACCCCTGAACGAACCGGCATAAAGACGAGAGACCAGACCGGATTTCCTGCATTATCGCCATTGTTTGGGGGACGCAACGTCGTGGGGTGATATGTACGTGAGTGCCGAGCATGGGCCAGAAAACAGGTGAAACAAAGAAGCATATATTTAGAAATTGACGATTTTTATGTCGAGTTTTACGTACATTACTTGCCTAAGTAATGTAGTTATATATGGCCTTGAAACAGAAGCATTTGCCGCGCGTTGCCGCCGATCTGGGTTTGAGTGCTGAGCTTGTTTGCTGCTTGGGCACCAATAGACAAGAGAAAGCGAACGAGCCAGGGTCTGTCAATTAGAGTGACTCATGCGACCACAATGTGAAGGCGGTGACTAGGCATTTCCATAGCATTACGATTAGGTTTGTTTAGAGTTGTCTCTTTGTTCTCACTCTACTCTTTGCCTCCAAGTCGAGCGTGTATTTAGACGAGTTTACTTAGTAACCAACATCTACGTCTTCTCAACCTCATACACTCCATCTTTTTCTTTTCTTCCTCTCTCACTAAAGCCCAGAATCAATATTTACAGTAGGAAATGGAAAAAGGGGGGACAAACCACCTACCGATATGAGAACCACTAGCAAGTCTTTCATCCTCCATCACAAGCTTAAACAGTCTTCATCTCCCAGACTTATGCAAGTGATGTCCCCAAATGTGACCACTTCGCCGCTGCTATTGGTCACAACGACTACCCAGCACGGCGCTTCCATGCCACCAGCGTAGTCCGCTACTGTATGTGCCGTCTTTTTTTTTTTTTCCAGCCTTGTACCGTTTCTTCTCAATTTGCTTTGTCACGTAGAGGAGAAGACCTCGAGAAGCAGCTGCGCCAAAGTCTGACCGTCCTCGCTAAAGGAGTGGTTCACAGCTAGCCATCCTTGTTGCGGCCCCGGTAGTGGCGCTTGATGCGACCGGATATGCGACCTCGCTTCTGCAACGGGGTTTCTGATAGATGCACGAAATACAGGCATTTGATTGACCAATGTTGTTCAATTTTGAGATAGGCCACGTACAGTATAGAGACACTATAGGCGCGAGAGCCAAAGAAACAACTCGTTCATAATCAATACGCATTACAATATATTACCTAGGTATCTTTGCTTCACTTTTCCCAACACACGGTGGCGGCAAGCCAGAGAAATCTACACAACAAGCCTCTCAAGTATACACACTCTCCGTCCAGGCATTCACTTGAAGCCCCCGCTCAGCCATCTCCGCATCCTTCAAAAAGTCCATTGGCATCCACACCAGGTGGCCCTTGATCTCTGCCAGCTTCTTCTTCGCCTCCTCGGGCGGCATGAACTGGTCGAAAATGTGGCCAGGCTTTACGCCCGTAGGCGGAAGGAAGCGATTGTAATCGTCAAATGTTTTGACTGTTCTTTGTATTAGCTAGTGAAGATACAGTTGTAACCTCAGATATGATGTTTACGGAGCACTTACTGTTGTTATCTGGATCGGCGTGGAACAGTTGGCGGAAGAGGTCAGTGTTTCGATCTGCTCGACTTGTCCACATATCCCACAGCTCGTCACTAAGCGGATCCTCTACAAACTTCCAGCTGTCGTCATCATCATAGACATTATTCTTGGGCTCAACGCTCGGCGGCATTGCATTAATGTCGTTGTTGGCATCAAATTCTTGCGGAGGGAGGAGACCGAGATGCTCTCGCCAGAGCATCCGTCGCAAAGTGGCTGCGTGGTATCCTGCTTCAAACGGCCTTCCGTTCATGGTAGTTTGGATGATGTTGGTGTCCTCCATAACGATACTCAACTCACTGTCGTGGTTTCCTTGCTGGCTGCGATCGTTCAGGTTGCTCGAGCCGCAAATCACTACTCGGTCGTCGGCAATGAGTATCTTGGCATGTACGTAAAGCTCCTCTTGGACCCAGTTCTTAATCTCAGATGCTGGATCCGACTCGGACCAGGCCTCGTCTTCCAAAGAAGGTTGGCCAGCCATGGCATAATGTGCCACTGTAGGCGAAGTTTTGACTTCCTCCTGCGGCTTGGCTTTCTCAAACGTCTCCTTTGCTTGCAAAGCCTCATTATGAGCCTTTTCTTTCTCGTATTCCTGGCCCATGTGGTTATCCCTTTCATGCTCAATGGGATCTGTCGTCCCGTGAATGCCTTCACTCATAATGTCTTCGGCGAGAACGCGCTGGACCTGCTGGTATTTAATACCCGTCTTCTCCTCCGCTTCGGTGATTGCAGGGGTCTTATTCAGACGGTCGTAAGATCTCAAGTTGAAGAAGAAGATGTGCTCGGTAGGATCCACTCCCTGAGCTTTGATTTGTTCAAAGATGGAGTGCTCCCCTCGACATATCGACTTGTACTGGTAATCCATGATGGCTCTCGTGCCAGAGGCAGCGTTATCTCGAAGATCACCCGCAAATCCTGGAATGGCGGGAATGACGATGATGATTTTGAACTTTCGGCCCTCTTTTCCAGCCCGGACTACGGCATCGACAATGGCCCTTCCAATCGTGTTGTGGATTGGGGATTGATGCTCGCCAGTGGCAGTGATGAAGAATTGGTTCTCAATGTAGACATAGTGCTCCGCAGCGCGAATGATTTCTGAGTACGCGTTTTGGATGGAGTGATCCGTCAAGATTCCACTGGACCAGTCGGCACTAGATCTCACCACCTGCGCATGCACAGTTCCCCGGTTAGGCAGGTTCTTGGTTGCTAGGGGGCTTAAAGGATGCTTGACGTAGTCTCCCATCGGGTGCTTGGGCCGCTGCACGCCGACCAGGTCCTCGTCTTCGCCTTCACGGCCCTCGAGGATGATCCAGTCAAATCTCTCGTCACGTTTATACTTGTCTCGCTTGACAAAATTCCATCGCAAAACAAAATGCTCGGCGATGTCAAGGACACAAGGACCGATGACAGCCATGGAGACGTCGTGCCAAGGCATGCGGCCATAATCAGCCTTGCTGACCTCATTGTTCTGCCAGTCCTGTACTTTTTTAAAGTCCATGACTCGATTGTTGTTGAAGTCCTGGCCCGGCCAAATCTCCGCAGTCACATCGTCTGGATGAACGTCTGAAAGCGGGTGGCTTCGGGTGTCCCACCGGCCAAAACAGAGATCCAGGCCTCCGATGAAGGCAATAGAATAGTCAATGACGACAAATTTCTCGTGATGCGCCCAGTACATTGTCATGTCTGCCGCATTTTCGAGAACATTGTGATCCGGATGCCGCATAATGTTGATATTGTTGAATCCCGGAGTGCCCTCCGGACAGAGCGCTTGCAGGGCGTGTTTGGTGTGTTCCGAATTGCAAGTCAGAGCAGCTTCGACCTCCTTGTAAACGATGACGAAGATTTTGACTCCCTCATCGGCCTTTCGCTTCAGAATCTGATCGAGTCTGTACTCTTGCTTCTCGTGAGGCGGCCGTCGCATGAACAGCTCTGGTGAGAGCCACCAATCTTCAATGTAGATGGATTCCTTGGCCTGCTCCAGGGCGACAGACACGGCCCAGAAGTAATCTCGTCCGTCTATATACCATTTGATGAGATTGCCATCTCGCTCAGGGAAGAACGATTGGAATCGGTGAGACTCGCAGATTTTAGTTCTCTTTTCGTCGCAGCGCACTTCGTGCTCTTCATCGTGGCGGTGATTGCTGTTGAACAGGTTTCCAAATTTACCAATCTGATGCTTCTTGTTGATTGCGGCCACCTTGACATCGTGAAGCTTCGTGTCGTGGAGCTTGTCTTTTAAGTTGTCTATCAAGCCGTGGAGGCCGCGATGGCTTCCGCTTTCTGCGGGCTTGGGGGCGGCCATTGTTAAACGCTACTAGTAATAGAATATGGCTGGTGAGTTTCGTCACAGGGGAGGGGAATGAATAAGTAGGTAAGAAGCTGCTATCACGAGGCACACATGCAGCTGGGTAAAAAACGAATTTGGGTATCTGAAAAGTAAAACGAAATGAAAGCTGAGAGAAGGAAAAGACACTAGAGGGTAGAGGAGGTGCCAACTGAAACAATCGTATATATAGCACGCGCGCAGTCGATGCCAAGATCGCGGCCGTCAAGGAAGCGGGGGCTCAAGCTCAGCAGACTTGCACAGCATGAAACCATGACGAAGATCGACCCGAAGAGCGCTAGCTGAACTAAAGAAAAGTGCCTGCAGCTCATTTTTGCAAAGATACTAGGCCTAGAACTAGGGATTCATTTCATTGTACGAGGCAGATGCTGGCGGCGCCACGGGGCTGACAGCCGAATCGCAGCAGGGATTTGAAGCCTTGGGGGACTCGGATCCGCAAACTTACCTGAGGTAAAATGATTTTATGCAAAGCTAATCTGTCTGGTAGCGGCCCAACTTTTGCATCTCTGGCCAATTGATCCAGGTTTTCGTTTTGCCATTTTCGTTGCACGTCTTGGCGCAGCATCGGATCGAGCTCTGGCCGGTTCGCATCGAAAGTGGAGGGGCCAGCCTTGTTCATTTGTGAGGGGGGCGGTGACGTCACATCAGCCAAGAGCTGGGGTGGGATGTTCGTTACCTAAAGAAAAAGGAACGAAAGCAGTTTTTGGAAGGGGGACGTTTTATTCTCGGGTGGACACGGTGACGTATGGCGTGTATTGGCATTTCCTGGGCTGTGAGTTTTGAGGCAGAACATGTCCATTTCCTTGGCTGATTGGCTATGGCTAGTAAGTGTAGAGCTTGTGATTGTCTCGGCGCTAGTTCTGGCGGTTGGCGCCGCTCATCTGCCAGATCTGAGCTTGAAGCCATCCATGGTTTTAAGATACACGTGGGACTAACAATGATATATCACCGAGTTGGGCAAAGATTGGATCATCACTCGTCAATTTTGCGTATAAAAAAGAGTGGTGATCAGTGGTCAAGACGGCAATCCGTTTTCAGTTGTGACAGAATCAGAAACATACATGCTGGCTTGCCAGTGATAACTGATCAGCGCTGCGAGTGATTCTATCTGTCGTATACAGACTAACAGGAGTATTGACGCGTAATACCAAAACTTGGCTCTGCTGCCCGACATTATGTAAGCGGGATATATATCAGCGTCTCTATGCCCAGAGCTCAATTGCAATCTGTCAATCAAAAGTCTTGGTTGCATGTCACGCTTCTCTGGAGCAAATGCGGAGTACCTAGCTACATGCAGCAGAGTGGGCATCAGCCAGGGAAATACGGATCGCGGCCACAGTCTTGAAACGGGTCCATCTTTAGTGGGATAGAGAGCCAGTATAACAGCTGTTAGATGCTTTGCTTAGGGCTCTTGATGCTAGATAGTACACAATTATACTGAGCTTTACAATTACATCCAAAAATAAACACCCTCGAGCATCCATATCATTATTACTTATCCAATATCATAGTCTTGTGAATACTAAAACCAATACGACACAGTGCTCGTATCATCCAGCCCCATTGAGTTTGCTGCAGATTCGTAACCCCTCCCCCATCGACCCCTTTTCTCTTCAACTCTCCTGGCTGGCTCTCCAACAATCGACCCCACCTGTGCCTCTCTGCCCCACCAGCTCCAGGCCAGATGTCGAGCATTCACCGCCGACCCAAAGACCCGATCGCGTCTTCATCTTTCCTTCCTCTTCTCTCTTCCAGCTCCTCAATTCAATTCCAATCCTCCATTTCTGTCTTTTACTTTGCAACTTATTAAAAGCAAAAAAAACCTATCCAAAATGTCTGCTCCTGAAATCCCCGTCGGCGCCACCATCGTCCACACCTTCAAGCAGTCCTTTGTGGACGTGCCCATTGATGCCGAGAATGGCAATGCCATTGCTACCACCCAGTTCCTCGATGCTGCCGAGTCCTTGACCACCATGTTTGGTAAGCTACAGCAGCATGGACCGATATCTTCAAGAGACCAGAGTGTTCTAATCTGGCTATGTAGACCTCCTGGGCTCTGTTGCCTTCTCTCCCGTCAAGTCTGATCTGTTGGGCAACGTCAAGGTACGTCTATAGCTTCGTTGCAGCGTGCATCCCCGTCCACTCGACAGAACCGTTGAGACAACCAGTAGCTAACAATGCCTTCTTTCAACATCTAGAAACTCCGTGAACGCCAACTCGCCGCCCCCGCCGAGTCCACCAATGTCCAGGACCTCTGCCGCAACGAGCTCAAGGCGAAGAAGCACACTGCCACCGAAGGTCTTCTGTGGCTGGTTCGGTACGTACAATTGAGCTTTTCTGCAGCTCATACACATCCAAAAGGCTTAGAAACGTACAAAGACTAACCAAAGGTCCTCCAAACAGTGGTCTCGAATTTACCTGCCTCGCCCTCAGCGCCAACGTGGCCAAGGAGTCCGAGGAGCTTGCCGATTCCTTCCGAAACGCATACGGCTCGACCCTGAAGCCTCACCACAGCTTCTTGATCAAGCCCATCTTCAGCGCTGCCATGAGCGCCTGCCCATACCGCAAGGACTTCTACTCCAAGCTCGGAGCTGATGAGACTCAGGTCCAAACGGACCTGAGGGTCTACCTGGCCGCTCTCGACAAGATTGTCGGCATTCTGAAGGGCTTCGTGGAGAGCAAGGAGGCCAAGTGGTAAATTGATTGATTGATACCTACTAGTTGGTTAAGTTATTAGCACGATCTACCGAGTACATATTGGTAATTAACGAAGAAACGAATTCAGTTCGAATAGTCCCATTATTAGCTGGGGTTAAACATGTTGGCATCTTGGAGATGTACGAAACACTCCATGTCCCTTTGATGATGTGCTCGCTCGGAAGAGAGTAGCCACAGCCAATAAACTAGTAAAAGTATCTGAATGTTCAATGATATATGCGTGACTCCGATTATCAAAATTGAAAGCAACTGCGGCGACTTTATTTAAGCCTCAAGTAGTACCTATTCAATAGCATCAGACGCTAGAAAGAGAGATCAAGGGCTGTAAACCCTCCGGTATGTAAAGAGAGCTTGAACTTGATATCCAGCTCAATCCACCATGATAGAAGTTAAGCTATCATCTTAGTGGGAAGATGTTCCAACAAGCATTTTATTGAAATTCGTATTATCATGCTGAGAGTGAATCGCATAATTGAAGCAGAAATCCCTATATGCAATTGGGCACTTAGACATTGGATAACCAAGTACAGGCATTACTACCCTAGAGCATCGCATTTTTGAATCATCTCAATCACTTACTTGTGTGTTTCAAGAGCACAAGCAGTTTCAATTGAAGAAATAAGACTCATCTCATCATTGTTGAAGCATATCCCCTCTGCTATAGAAAGAACCCGGGCCTAATAATGTGGCGGAGAGCGCATGCATCGTCTGGCAATAGTCTGTTTCGTGAACAGCAGCAGAAACCCCGGTACATGAAGTCTACCAAGTCGCTACTCCTCTACTTTTCATTCTGAAGATATAAATACTGATAGCAACTTTGTAACTGGTCTATCTGAGTCAAAGCCATAAGACAAGCCGGAGTCTTTTGATAGCCTCCTTCTAGTCGTAAGCCACTGAGTAATTGCCTTATGCTTTGAAACTGTCCTGTGATTGCTTTCTAAGCCGCGCGATTCTATAGAAGTTGAAACATAAACAGAATCAGAAAGTTATCAGACCTTGAAGATTGCAAAATTGGTCAAATCTAGCAGCACCTTTCTCGCCGTCCAGGGTAGCACTGCCCTCTTTACAATAGTATCGCTCATCGTCCATGTATTACCAAACAAGGCATCCGCTCTTATGCTCACATGAAACAAAGAAAAGAAAATGAACTAATAAGCCTAATTGCCTCACATGGCATCCGGGTGTGTTCGTCAAAGTCATCCCCCTCCCTCCATCGGCACTCATAAGACCATCCGTCACCTCGGCAGCTCAACCACGCCACAGATTCAGTCAGCACTCTAAACCCGCGTTCTCGCATCTATTTAATCGTCCCTATTCATCCCGACTTCACTCTTGTGGCCAACCTCATTTAGGACCATCAACTAGTTTATTACCATTTTATTTTTATCTTGATTCATTCACACCATTCATCACCCTTTCCAACAAGCCACCTCGTGGTCTCACTCACTCCCCCCCGTGATCCCCCAGTAGCCTACCCGAACCATCCGAGCCGCATATCGTCTCAACCACAGTATAGCTATCTTAGCTTCCTTTAAGAAATACTATACCCCGTATATCACAAGCAAATAAAAACGATTCATAACTCTCCGTCTGCTCATTTAGACCTGGTATTAGACCCGGCACATGGTCTTCATCGAGAGTTAATCTTGCCTTGTAAGGCTTTCCCCCACGTGCCCGACTCGCATGAAATTCCCACTCGCTGCCGGTCATCCGATTTCCAAGAGACCATAAAGTAGGCAAGTAGTATCAAAGGTTCATCAAACACAAAGGTGTTATTGGGCTTGCATGTCGGAACGCCACGTTATGTCCAGTGTTAATAATACAAACTTGCATAAACACTCGTCCTAGAGGAGGGGCGTGAATGAAAAGGAGATGAATCAACGGTGTAGTTTAGTCTGAGGATGTCAGACAGCCATGGCTGACAGTCTTGCAAAACCCAAACTCCTGGATTTCAAGTAAAGACGGGAAGTTTAGCTTAGCGCCACGGGAAGTAAGAGATGATGCCAAGACATAGCCTTGATATATAAAACTCATTCAATTGTTAATTCTCAGTCGTGTACTATCAAATCAAATTGAAAAGTCCATTTGCATCTTTCGAGCCAGGTCTCGTTTATATCAGATAAACATCCCAATCGCCTATTCGCCGCTTCTATGCATGTTCCCTCCTCCAACGCCAGCAATAATCAGTCCGCTAATTAGTCTCTTAGTCTGGCTGCAGTCCATCTTTCTCTACCAACGTGTCTGTCTGTCTGTCTTTGTCTACTCTTGTCTACCAAGTGCAACGCAGTGCTGTGGTATGATCGAGACAATTTCAAGAGGAGTAAAGAAAAGCACAATAATGGAGGAGGGAAGCAAAAAGGATAAGAGAAACGCTATGAGTCGCCAATCAAGGAAAAGAAAAGGGGAAAAAAAAAAAAAACCAAGTCTAGAAAAAAGTCATGGTCAAAAGGGACCAGCTGATTTTGATCGAGAGATGAAACTAGGCCGGGGTATCCGCAAACGCTTTGTTTTCATGGATCGCATCGATTCCCTGTCAGTGTCGTGCGCCTGGCCGAGCCAGTTGGCAATGGCCTGAGTCGCCTCTGCGTATTCGACTTCGACACTCTCTTTTTGTATCATTGGCGGGGGGCAGTCCCATGCATGCTTCTCGCCCGCAACAATGCGCAAAGTGACAGTCTTTTGCAGACTCTGCAGTCTCTTTGCGAAGCGGGTACCCTCTGCGAGAAGCATATCATACTCGCACAAGCAGAGATGAATGGGCGGTAACTTTTTCATAATGTCATCCGGCATCAGGCCCGGGGACAGCCGAAGATCTGCGCGTTTGTGGCGAGGGATGGCGGGGAAGACATATGAGGCATCAATCAGGTCCGTCAAACCCTTGGACAGGGTGAGATCAGGACGAGAGCAGCTCAGCCTCTTGTCAGCCCTGTTGATGGTCCAGTCCAAGCCGGGATAGAAGAGCACGAGGCCCGTGATGCGAGGCACGGCGAAGGGCAGGGTGTAATTCCAGCGGGACGGGTCATTCATGATGAGCCAGCTGGACAGGGCCGTGGTGGCACCTGCGGAAAAGCCCGAGAGGATGATGCGACTGGGGTCAATGCCAAACTGGGCGGCGCGCTTGGTTATCTCCAGGATGGCATCGACAGAGTCCTCGATGGCGGTTGGAAATGGGTGGCTAGGCGCCAGGCGGTAGTTGACGGTGAAGACGACGGCATCCAGCGAGGTCATGACGGCGCATGCCCAGCGAGCATTGTCGGTTCCCTGGCCGAGAATCCATCCTCCTCCATGGAGAGCCACGACGGCTGCTCGAGGCCCGATGGATAGACGAGGCGGCGTCCACACCTCGACCCTGATCTTCTTGGGCCCCTTGCTCTCGGCGAGGGTCGCATCAACCCAGAACTCGGTGGACGGTGTAGGAGCGGCAGGCTCAGTGCGGTTGGAGATGCTGAAGCCGAGGCTGGATGCATAGCGGATGGCCTGCGCACGCGCATTCAGGGCCCAGCGAGAACTTGCCTCCAAGGGGTTGACATAGTCGTCAGGCTCCGGCACAGTCGGTTTCCTGATGGTTTCCGGGACGACTTCCATGGGAGAGGCGCGCGGTGGTCATACGCCGTGAGTCTGTTGAGCGATGATTTGGTGACTGCCACAAGCGTAGCCTGGCTTCTACGGAAAGGCAGGGCAAGCGGGGATTGGCTGTAGAAGGCTCTGGGGAACGAAACAGCGGGGTGGACGGATGGAAGAGGGGCGTGGATGGTGGAAGAAGAGGAAGAAGAGGAGAAAAAGTTTGATTCTATGAAGAGGCAAGGAGGGTGGGTGGCGCGAGGCACGGATAAGGTACGGCACAAATGATGAGATGGTGGACGAAAAGAGGCGAGGTACGCGCCGATACCTGCGATGATGGCGTCAAGGTGGCTGATAGTACTGTATCGTACCGTGCCGCGTGCCTTGCTGCTGGTGACGATCACAGTCTGGATAGCGAGTCGCTGCTCAGGGGAACTTGTACACGGACTTGAGGACGCTGACGGAGTATCTTTTTTGCCCGACTCGTGTGGCTTCGGGCCTAGGGCTTATCTGGCCAAGATAATCAGTCGCGAAGCAACGTTTTCCAACGACCAAGTTGGTTCACGAGAAACTCGCTGCCAAGATGTCGAGAGCTCTATACGTGTATCTTACACCATATACGCGCAATACAACGCTAAAGGGAGAGCGAACAGAGAGAAATCAAGATGCAACCGAATAACTGGGGTAGCATTAATTCGTGGAGACGCAGCAGTAAGAAAACCGGGAGCGGGTTCGATATTGCGCTAGCTGAGCCCCAGCAACCAGCAGGCTGGATCGGCGCAAAGCTTCTTTGAGAGAGACTATTTGCTGGGGCTGAGGGAATCTGGACTATGAGGGAATGGCTGGAGGGCTTTACGCCGATCTTGTCAAGGCAAAGGCTGAACGATTCGTGGTCGTTGTTTTGATTTTCGATTTTGCAGACTTCTAGAAACCAGACTATCATCCATCAGTTCCTTTTGGCAGTTTCCAGGGCACCTTGCCTAAAGTGGCACTTTGAATGGCCCTTAGTAATAAAAACCCAGTGCTACGGTCGCATTGCAGCGATGGAAAATCGTGGAAGTCGAAATCGGAGCACAGACCTGCTATGACGTACTGTGCAGTTCGACTATCGTCTGGTGCTCCATAGGCGGGTCCCAACGGTTCTTGCTCGTATCGCAGTTTCGCAGTATCGACTTGATTCTGGTTAATTGATTCCTTCCCGAGGAGCTGATCGGACGATGCCGGGCCAAGGCATCGCTTGCTTTGCCGCGCGGTTCCTCTTCTCCTTTCTTTTTCTTCTACCTATTCAGTGCACATGATTTTGATGCTCCATCTTTGTGGGAGTATTCTGCATGCCTAGGCAAAGCAGTTCAAATTACCGAGCTGCTGTCTGGCTCAAGTTGAGGAACCGTTTCACCTTCTGACGTCATTGCAAAACTTCGACTTTGTAAATGGCTGATTTTACCTGCACACCGAAAGAAGAACGAAAAGTACAACATTGCGGATTCCGTTGATTGGCAGGTATATCCCCGATAGCCGCTCTCGGCCAGGATGAGTGCAAAAGTGCACAGAAGCAGCGGCACTAACGGCGCTCGATAAGGTGAAATAGACTAGGAGAAACTTCAAATGAAGATCTACTTGTAGAAGTTGCTGCTGCATCCGCTGCATTACCCCAATAGGGCAGAGCGCGATATACTGGCAGATTCTGCATAGGCACATTGGTTGCCTCGTACTTTAATGCCCGATAAAATCTGCAGCCTTTCACTCCCAATTGCTGGTTACCTAACAACATGGGCAACCAGATCCTGGTAATTGCTTTTGTTGACGGTTTCGGGAACTTGTGATGTGCAGGGGGAACAGCCCCGTAAATGGCACAATTACATCATGGACGTCCCCTCCAAACAAAGAGTCACCGCATGCAGAGCTGCACGTATAGCCGTGTATGCATGTTATTCATCATTTGGAAACGGGAAACGGGGCCTGCAAGCAACCCGCTGCTTGGGTGAAAGAGCACATAATCATGCATTAGCTGGAAAAAAGAGCGTGGAAAGCAAAAAAGACAATGAAGCGCTGGAAGCTGCAGCACGAGCAGCTGGGCGTCCAGACTGCGCACTAGCGCCCGTCCGCCTGTCCGCTAATCATCCATCCGTGTATCTCGTGCGACGCCGGACGGCACTAGACATGCAGTGCCGGCCGACGGTGCGCAGAAACTGCAGAAACTAGAGGCAGAAGAGCAATTCCAGAGCAAGCAAAAGGCAGCAGAGGGGAAATCCCTGCCACCGTTGCAGCCACTGTTGCAGCCACTGCTGCATGTGCTCGGGCTCAGTCAGCACGGCGCTTAGTGCAGAACTTGCTTGCTAAAGAGTATAGGCTGAGATTTGATATCAGACTATCGAGGTACACACTTACTCTGCTATTACTAAACCTCTTGCAGGCGCCCACCCCCTCGGCTGCGCTCGACCCAATGGCACTGGCAGAATCTTCGCACTGATTCCGTCCCGTGCTAGGCGGATAGGCTGCTCGGGCTCGGGCGGAGTCCAGCGTTGACGGCGGGTGGAGATTGGGCTGATGGCAGCAAGACGATGGATGATAGTCACAGTCAAGGGAGCTGGCAATTTCTGCACCACGGCCAGGGGCCCGCGAGCTTGCCGAGGAGAGGTCAGAGGACGAGCCCCTCCTGCTCGGTTCGGCCATCCGACGAGTTTTCGCGCCTGTTTGGGCTGAGTCCATGCTGGCCTGGACTTGATATCGTGCATAGATTGATGTCTCTTTGCTGCTGATACCCCCCCTGTTCAGCTGCCCCCAGCATCCTCGGCGGCATCCACTGCAGCAACGGGTTTTGTCGCCCAGTGAGTGCATTGGCTGTTTACCAAATGATTACGCCTACCTGCTTGTGAACCGGTGATAAACTAGGTCGTAGTGGACTCAGCATTGGCTGTTGCTTGAGAACGCCTCGTTGCGTCCTATAAGACCAGAGCAAGCCTCGCCAAGAGCTACTGCTGTGGCTTCTCTCTCTCTTCCCTTTCTCTTCATCATCGCCGTCATTGACTCGCCGCCGCCTCTGTGGCTCAAGGAGATTTCAGATTTCTCATCCAAGAAAAAGAGGAAAGTCCCGCGCCTTGCTTTGCCACACTTCCGGTTTCAGCACACCATCCTCTCGATATAAAGCGTACAACCTATTTCCTATCAAATACAAAGTCCAAGCCAATTCCCATCTTTTGTGACAGTCGTCCAAAAATAGCCATCCCTCCCCCCACGGCTCAGCGGCCCGCGAATAAAAGCCCATTGAGAAAGCGCAGCTCTCCGCCTCGACGTTCGCGGTGATTCAGTTCCACGTCATTGACTCTGAAGCAACAAGGCACGCGGAGGCGAAATACGACACAGGAGCTGTCAGGGCAGAGATTTCGATAACATCATCGCGCCTACAGGGGATCACAGCGTCGGACCAATTACAGCGGGCTGCACCGCAGGCGCCAGGCACTTCTGCCCCCCGAAATTATCGCCCGCCCGTCTCTTAACCCCGCCAAAACGAACCCCGCGACCTCCGGCAGGGAATAAACCGTTGCCACACATCGCTCGCTCGTCTCAACATTGTGCGACTTTTCTCGCCGGCAGCCAATCAGACCAGAATTTCCGCGGATATAGCACCAGGAGTAGCAGCTACTTTCACCGCGGTGTTTTGCGAGCCCTCTCTGAGCTGCTATTTAGTCTCTTTCTCTCGTTGCCAGGCATCTGATCGGATCCCTGCTCAGGCAACGCCCCATAGCATAGCCATCTCGCATTGATATCCCGCATCTCTATATCGTCACCATGCCGTCCACCGACAGCGGGAGAAACTCCCCTATCCTGTCGGCCTTTGGCCTTCCGCTTCGCTCCAACAGCACAAGAAGCAGCAGACGCGCCAGTCCTGACCGTTCCGTGCCTCGCGATCAAGTCCCCAAGAACTACCACGCTGGCGGCCTCAACAGCAACCGCAGCAGCTACCACCAGTACATGGTCAACGAAACTCCCACGCCTGCGACGCCCACGATGTCGGCGCAAGCTATGCCTACCTCGCCCATCTCCCCGGCCGTCCACAGCGAGGCCACCCGCAAGATCCTGGCGACGATGAACGAGGGCCGCAGGTCGGCGCCGAGCTCTCCGCGATCCAGCATGGACAACTCTACCACGTCTTTTGACAGCGTGCGCAGCAGCGGCTCTGACTGGCCGACGCACCCCTACGAGCTCAACACCATTGCCGAGCTGGACACGCTGCCCATTGGCACAGAAGTCAACTTCCGTGGCCGTATCCATACCCAGCGCCAGCTCTCCAAGGCCCTCGACTTCCTCCTGCTGCGTGACCAGACCTTCTCCATCCAGGGCGTCCTCTCGAGAGAAAACATGGACATGGTTCAGTGGGTGCAGAAGCTGCCTGCCGAGTCTCTGCTCCAGATCAACGGCGTTCTCAAGGCGCCCCCGGAGCCTGTGCGATCTGCCACCGTGTCCCACGCCGAGGTTGATATCCACGGCCTGTGGCTCGTGAACCCGGCCCAGAATGCCCCGTTCAGTGTTTACAGGCCCCCAGAGGCTCTGCGCAGCCGCATGTCTTCACGTATTCTTGATCTGCGGCACCCGGCCAACCAGGCGCTGTTCCGCATTCGATCCCAGGTCTCTCACCAGTTCCGTGAAACCCTCGAGGGCTTTGGATTCGTGGAGATCAATACTCCCAAGCTTCAGCCCGCCGCCACTGAAAGCGGTGCCTCCGTTTTCAAGGTCAACTACTTTGGCCGCAAGGCTTTCTTGGCCCAAAGCCCGCAGCTCGCCAAGCAAATGTCCGTCGCCGCCGATTTTGGTCGCGTGTACGAGATTGGCCCCGTTTTCCGTGCAGAGAACTCCAACACTCATCGCCACCTTACCGAGTACACTGGTCTTGATCTCGAGATGGCCATTGAGCATGACTACCATGAGGTCATCCAGGTGCTTGACGACTTCCTCAAGAATGTTTTCAAGGCCGTCTACGCCATGCCCGAGGTTGAGGTTCTCAAACAACGATGGCCCAGCACCGAGTTCAAGTATCTGGATGAGACACTCGTTCTCGACTTTAGAGACGGCCTTCAGATGCTGAGGGACGATGGTCGTGAAGCTCCTGAGGAAGATTTGTCCACTGCCGATGAGATTCGCCTTGGTGAGCTCGTCAGGGAGAAGTTCAACACTGATTATTACGTTCTCGACCGCTTCCCCACAAATGCCCGTCCGTTCTATACCCACAAGGACCCCGAGGACCCCAGATGGACCCGATCCTTCGACATCTTCATCCGTGGTCAGGAGATTTGCTCCGGTGGCCAGCGTATCCACGATGCCGCCGAGCTGCGCGCCAACATGTCCGCTGCCGGCATTGCGGAAGACGGCATGGAGGAGTACCTAGCCGGCTTCGACCTGGGTGCGCCGCCCCATGCTGGAGCTGGTCTGGGCCTTGAGCGTATTGTGACCTGGATGCTCGAGCTCGGAGACGTCCGCAACGCCTCGCTCTTCTACCGCGACCCCAAGTCCCTCCCCGACCGCAAGCCCGGTCTGCCCCATCCCGAGGCCGACACCACCAAGCAGTATGCCGCACTCCACACTCCTCCCGTCGAGAAGCTCATTGCCAACTACGGCGATGCCTCCAACACCTCTTGGCTCGACGAGCGGTTCGAGATCTGGAGACACAAGTCTGGTGCCGCTGTCGGATTTGTTCGACAAGACAAGTTTGCCATGGTCACTGGTGATCCTCTCTGCGACAAGTCGCAGTACACGGACGTCATCAACTCCTTTATCAAATATGTGCTGACGGAGCTTCACATGGTCCCCATGTGGATGCTTGTCTCGTACGACGTGCAGAGGATCCTGGCTCACGACTTGGGCTGGCGAACCCTGTCCTGCACGGAAGAGCAGCGTGTTGACACGGCCAGACACCAGAGCCCTGCCGGTGGCCCCAAGGCCCGCAGAGTCGAGCGTGAAGGCATCAAGATCCACGAAGTCAAGGCTGACGAGGACTTCATCAGCCGCGCGGAGCCGCAGATCGAGGCCTGGAAGGCCAACCGCAAGGGCAAACAGGTTCACATGACCGAGGTGCGCCCCTGGGTCGACATGGAGCACCGCCGCTACTTTGCTGCCGAGAAGGACGGCAAGGTCCACGCCATGGTGGTGTTGGCCCAGCTGGCTCCCCGACACGGCTGGCAGGTCAAATGGGCGCTCGACTTCCCCGGCGCCATCAACGGAGCTATTGAGATCCTCATCGAGCACGCTCTTTCGTGTGTCACCGGCCAGGTGACGTTTGGTGTCGGCGTGTCAGAGAAGCTGACGCCCGGCGAGCACCTCCACGGCATTCGGGCTAAGTTCCTTGCCACCACGTATCGCTCCATCGTCGAGAGCCTGGGTCTCCGTCGCAAGGCGGGCTTCCGATCCAAGTTTGGCGCTCTGGGTGAAGAGGTCTACATTTGTTATCCTAAGCACGGCGTCGGCTTGAGAGACTTGCAGCAAGTCATCAAGTTTTTCCAGGATTAAACATCTCCAAAAGTGTGTGTTCAATGGGTTAAAGGAGGGAAAAGGGATGAAGTGATACCACATGATACCATTAAAGAAACAAGATAGAAAAAAAAAGTCAGTTGGGTGCACAATAAACGAGTGGACTGGGGGAGGTGGACTGGGGTTTGGGATGGATGCTTTCCTTTATTTTGCTTTTTTCTTTCTTTCTAAGATACCGACTTTTCCCTGTTTTCTTTTCCTTTTCTTTTTGCCCTATTCCTTTCTTCTCTTCGATGATGGCAAATTACCAAGGCATCATGAACAGATTATGTATAGACGGGGGTGGTGGCGGATTGACCCTTTTGTGTTGTTTATTTTGTTTTGGATGGAATAATGAAATAGCGCATGGAAAGAAAGATGGTCTAAACATTGGTTATGAAGTAGTTTTTCTTCTATTTATTATACATTTTTGATGAATGGATATGATGCACAGAGTTCTGAAGTTTCGGCATGAGTCCTTTTGTAGAAGAGCAGTAGCAATCGTGACTTTTGCTGCCTCTTGAATAAAGTGGTAGATGATGGAAAATAATAACAAATCTTTGGTGCTCATGACGTTTCTAACGTATCATATCATATAGACCTAGGTATGCTGGATCTTAATTCTGCATGTGTATCTCATCAAGCCTCCATATCTAGCGTTATCCCGTCTAAATCTATTTCTTTCTAGATTTTGCCTCTTCTTACACTTTTAGTCATGCCATGAAATGTACAGCATAATGCCCGCCCCGGCTGCAACGGCCGCAAACTGCGTCAGCGTCTTCCGCAGCTCTTCGCCCTTGTTGGGCCCCGTCTCGAGCAGCTCCGGGATGACGGCGACGGTGCCGACGTACAGGAACGTGCCAGCCGTGAACGGCAGTAGCATATCGCCCCATGTCTAGTGCAAGAGATGTTAAGTCAAGATGAAAAACAAATTGGAGAAGAAGAACTTACCAGGCTTGTTCCCCAGAGCCCCCCAATTCGCGGCATCGCCTCGCCGTCGGCGCCTCCAGAGCCGAGTTCCTGGACGGCAATGCCAATGAGCGTGCCCATGAGGGCGCCGATGGCGGTGACGAACTGGGACGCCATGGCGGCGCGCTTGGAGAAGCCGGACTGGATGAGCAGCGCAAAGTCGCCGACCTCGTGGGGGATCTCGTGGAAGAAGACGGCGACGGTGGTGGTGGCGCCGATGGTGGGCGAGGCGTAGAAGCTGGCAGACATGGCGAGGCCGTCGGTGATGTTGTGGGTGAAGTCGGCACTGGATGACAAGCAATGAGTGGTTAGTATCAGATAGGTATACGTACTCGGAAAGCTTGGGTTGCAGTTAGACGGGAGGACTTACATCAAGTTGAGGTATCCGCCTAGTTTTACGCTGGGGTTAATCTCCTTGAGCTGTGACTGCTCATCTGCCTGAACCTCCTTGCTGTCGCCCTTCTTCCTCAACTTGGCCTCGCCCTGGACGGTGTTTGCTCCAGTAGAAAGACCGACATCTGCCGTCCTAGCATGCTTCTCGTCACCATGCGCGTGTCCGTGCGAATGATCATGGCCCTCGCCCCCCGTCGCAATTCGCAAGCCTTTATCCATGGCCACAAACGTCATGAAGCCAACGAGTATGCCCAGGCCGAGGATCAGGTTGCGGTTCGGCTCGACAAGCACAAACCGGGCCCTGTCCGGCTCGTCCTCGCCGACAAAGATCTCGGGCAGCAGGTGGAAGAGCGTGTCGCCGAGAAGGCCTCCGACGGCAAAGGCCACCATGACGGACAGCGAGGAGGGATCGATGTTTGTCGGGACGAGGGCGAGCAGGAAGTTGGGCGGGCCGGAGATGTACAGCGTGGCCAGCAGCGCATTCACGGCGGGCGAGCCGGGGAAGAGCACCGAGAAGAGCTGCGTCGTGAGGGACGAGGGCGCGGCTTCGAAATGGGCCGCTTTGGCGGTGTTGAGCTCCTGGACAACGGGGCATGTCTATTCACTCACCAATTAGTCAAACGTATGTTTTGATATAAAGACAAATTACAAAACGGAACGGCACCGTACCTGAAGCCGGCCATCAAGCTCCTCCAAGCTCAGGCTCTCAATGGCAGCATGGCTTCCCTTGATCTGCGACGCCGCCGCACAGGCCGCCAGCACGAATGCGCATGACGCAATAGCGGTCTTGAAAGCGCTTCGACGAGCCATTGTGTGTGAGCAGCTAAACTTCTCAATTCGTGTCTTTTTGCGAATTGAAACAGACGCCGATAGAGGCTGTTGTCGCTGTCGTGTGATGGGATGAAAGAAAGACACGAAAGCTCCAATTGGAGGTGGAGCTAAGATGAAGAGACCCCGGCACGTACTACAGGAGTTTAAATCAGCGGGCTAGGCTGTTTTGGGAAGCGGTGCTTTGATGTGCTAATTATAGTTTGGTGTCTTATATCCAAGATCATTATACAAGACGACGGCGAAGAAAAAGCATTTCTGGGGATGCTTTATGTTATCAATGTTATACGTAAGCAACTGTCAAAGTGCATGCCAGATGGTAGAGGAGATACAACGTACAGTAAATCGAATAGCTCAAAGCTGATTATATGAACCGACCAAATCCAATCTTGGCCTGCAAGAGTCAAACTCTCTGTAATAGTTTCATGCCATTGGCTTATTAACATCGTCATGTTCTTGTCTGATTAGCTGCACCAACGCAATCCAAATGCACGCGTTATCCGTAAGCGACGTTCCCACCTATCAGCGACCGTTCCCGCTGTCCAGCCCACGTGCCTCTTACAAGGCCATGGATTATAAAGTAATCGAATTGCTACAAGATAACTCGTTTGTTTATCTTGTTCCGATTCTGCTAGACAAATCATTCACCATCATTCAAGACACAATGGCCACCAAAAGTACCAAAAGCACCAAACAACGCCCACTCTACCCCCGTGGCATCCCTTCCAAATTCTCATCCGATGGAATCGTCCAGCGCTTCCCCGGCAACACCATAATCTGCCATCTACCCGCCAACTCTCCTCTCCAGCCCAGCCTAAACAGCGTCTACAAATCACTAAGCTCCCACCCCGTCTTATCCAAGCTCATCCATCTCCTCCCCAAAGACTCTTGGCACATGACCGTCCATGGCGGAATCCACGGCGATAAAGTCACTCCCGGAAAGCGACCTCCCGGATTCGAAGGACGGTTACTAGAAGAAGTCACCGAGGATTTCGCCCAGAAGCTAAGACAGCTGGGCATGGAGCTGGAAAAGGAAGGTCTGGCGCCTCCCTACAAGATGAGAATTCGGGGATTCAACGGAGCCAAATTCTTCATCGGGTTGGAAGTCGAAGGAGCTACTGCAGAAGAGGAAAAACGCATGCGATTGCTGCGAGATAGACTTGCTGATGCGCTGGGGCTGAGACAGCCAAACCACGACACATATGGCTTCCACATCACCATTGCGTATCTGATGAGATACATTGAGGGGAAGAATAGAAAGATGCTCAATGCAGTGTTTGAGAAGCACCTATCAGAGGTACAGCTGGAGTTTGAGCTTGGAGCAGCGGAATTCTGCACGTATGAGAACATGTATTCCTTTGTAAGGCTGTTCTATCTCGGACAAGGTCAAGACTGAATGGGATACTAAGCTGCTTTGTAATCCCTTTACATGAAGATGTACACAGCATAGATATTGCGTCGTATAAAGCCTAGACAGCGCCACACTTGCCTCAGTCACAACTCCATTTCTCATTCCCATCTCAACAATCTCAGCCTTCATCCGACGCCAATTGAGGCCGTCAAAAGGATGTTACCTGTATGACATTGCCCTGGGTTTGAATCTGGTTCTTGAGTCACAAAAATTTATGCATCTGAGTAGGAGAAATTCTTGGCGAGCTGAGTGAAGAAGAGGGATGAGAGGTCTGTCATATATCGACGACAATCCAGTCACAGGGTGCCTTCAAGAAGGAAATGCCTAGCCACGCTTCAACTTCAGCTTTTAAATACCGTCTAGAGGCTCTTCGATGGTACGCTGCAACTTCTTGAAGATGGCACGATGGCCTCATTGGGGAATGGGGGAGCCATGCGTCTACCATGTGGCTTATCTCTAGCCGATGGCGAGCTTCTCTGTTGCCGCCGCACCTTGATGTCTCACATCAAGCTGGCTTACATGCATCATTTAGACTAATATAAGGCTTGATATAAATCAGAAGGGTATCCTTTACTCATAAAACAAATGGACGTTGGGAGGTATAAGATCTTCAGGACGGTATTTATATCCAAGTCTTCGCAACGGAGTTCATGTAAATGTAATTCTTTTATGTTTTTGACTCTTGATAGTATATTCTATAATAAAATGAGTGTGTTCATTCATCCATGTAATCCATAAACCCTCTTAACCCAAAGTATGTCATAACCCTTCATTAATCCGTCTGCAGCGAATTTTTCACAAGCCAGACGTCAGGGCATAAACGAACCAAACGACCTATTTTCTTGGTACATCTGATAAGTATGCATAGAAGCCATACAATTCATTAACATGCAATCCTCAACCACAGTACATGTATCCCCCTCGCGTCCATTCTCCTGGTAATCTCACTCTCTGTTTCATGAAGAGAGTCTGCAGGAAGACCATTGTTGGACTTTTACAGAGCAATAGCAGCCATGGCAACAGCGGCAGCGGCAGCTCCGAAAGAGCCCAGCTTGTTACCACTGTTTCCAGGGGCAGTAGACGAGGGAGCAGAGGGGCTGCTGCCGGATCCAGAGCCGGTAGGAGAGCCACCAGTAGAGACGGTGCTGTTAGCAGTGGGGAAAGGCACAGAGGCAAAGGTAGAAGAGGCGGGAGGAACACCACCGGCACCAGCGCCGCCAGGAGTGGAGGAGCCTGAAGAACCGGTAGTTTGAGGCTCGGAACCAGTAGTCTGAGAGCCAGAGGAGCCAGAGGAGCCAGAAGAGCCAGAAGAGCCAGAGGAACCGGTAGTCTGAGGCTCTGAGGCGGTGGTCTGAGAGTCTGAAGACCCAGTAGTCTGGGACTCTGAGGTGCTAGTAGAATCAGAGCCGGAGCTAGAGCTAGAGCTAGAGCTGGAACCAGAGCCGGAAGAAGAAGAAGATGAAGATGATGAGGAAGAGGAAGAACCCGCAGAAGAAGAGGCAGCAGCAGAGGAACTAGCAGGCTTGCTGGGGGCCGAAGAAGAGGTCGGGTTCGTGGGGTTGGTGTCGACATTGGCGCAAGAAAGATCAAACAGGGGCTTCTCGGTCAAGGAGCTGCCAATGAGGCCAAAGCTGGGGTTGGGCGCACTAGGCTCGGCATCCTGAAGAGTGTACCACCAGACGTTGGTCTTGCCAAAGTTGGGGCAGCCAACCTGCTGCCAGTACTCCTGAGCGTTACTCACAGAGGCCACGGCGTCGCCAGAGCTCTTACCGTTGACGGGCCAGCCGGTCTCGGTAACCCAGACGTCCTTGCCAGGGCCGGCGTTTTGGATCTTCGTGAGGGCAGACTCGTACAGAGACTTTGCGTTGGCGATGGCGTTGGTGTTGGTGTTCTCGTAGTAGGGGTAGGTGTCCATGCCGAGCCAGTCGGAGGCGTCAATCACAGGCTTGTTGGAGTCCAACACCCAGGCGTTCCAGGTGTCGACGTGGCCAACGGGCACCTTGCTCAAACAAGAGCCCTTGATGGTGTCACGGACCTGGTTGATGTAGTTGACCAGAGTTCCGGGCTGGGCTCCGGGGCCGGCATCGGAAGCAACACCGGTGGGAGTGATCCGGTACAGATCCTCGCTGCCAACGGAGATACCGGCAACCAGGCCGTCCAGCTGACCACAGTACTGGCTAATGGTGCTCTTCAGAGCGGCAATCTCGTTGGCGAAAGCGGCGTCACCAGCAGAAGCCCAGAGACCAAACAGCAGACTGGTCTTGGTGCTGATGGCAGCGGGAATGGCACTGATGGGTGAGTTGGTGGTGCCGCCCTGGATCATGGTGTAGATACGGGCACTGGTGAAGGCGCCATTGGTGCCATCAAGGCCGGCGGCCGTCTTGAACTCGGCCTCGAAGTCGGTCTGGGCCTTGGGCTGACCGCTGGTAAAGGTCGAGCCGTAGTTGAAGCCCTGGTAGGCAGCGTTGACCGCCGAGACGGCCGTGGCCAGAGTGAGAAGAGTGGACGAAGAAGGCATTTTGCGTGTCTTTGGCCTAGTAGATTATGATTATGCTTTTCTCTCTTTATATGTATGTAAAAACTGGCGATATTAGGATAGTATCGTCGGTCCCAAAAAAAAGCGAACGAGCTCAAGCCGAGCAAAGAAACGAGTGTCTTTGCAAAGCACGACTTGGTGATGTTACCAGGTATAGCAATCACAGGTCAAGCGAGAGTGAAGAGGCCCAAGTCCACAGAGGATCAGACCAAAATAGGGATACAAGCGACTGAAGGTGTTGGTCTAGAGGAGAGGATGAAGGAAGAAGAGACAAAGAAGAAAAGCAGCCGGAGACACTGCTTGAAAAGGAAAGCCAGAGACACGCAAAACGTCAGCACCGGGCCAGCGTGGATTGGGATACGAGGACGCAGCAGCAGGTCCCAGAAAAAGCAAGGTACAGCACACAAAGAGCCCACGCACTGCAACAACCCACAGTTCCGTTCCACACCAACTTTTTTTCTTTCTTCTTCTATTCGTCTTTTCCTTCTCTGTGTTCTGCTCTAGTTTCTTCTTTGGCGGCCAAGCCACAGGGGTTCCGGAGTGGGTGTGGCATTTCGTCACAGGCACCGGCCAGCTCCAGCTCTCCCACAAATCGCCTCTCGCCCAACTTATTGGTCGCCATCCCACAAATCGCCCAGCGAGCCCACACTGGATCGAGGCCCACGTTTTGTCTGATCCAGACGGTGGGGCTGCCGTCCAGGCCTGGCCCTGGTCGTATCGCCGTCGTGTCATGCCATACGGATACAGCAGAGAGAAAAAGAGAAGAAAATGCCGCTCGATTGGCGAGTGTTTTTCTTGCTGGTCGTAGACGGAGCACCCCTGCATGGAGCATTGACTTGACAGCGTGCGACGTCATGGCGCCATCTCAGATCACTCCATCAACCACGACATGCTTCTCGGTATCTAGTATTATCATGCACTCAGGGCATGGAGCAGCGCATACATCATCTTCTTCTGCTTGTGTTGTGTCTATGTAACGTTGGTCCAAAAAACATCACCAAATCTCAACGAAGAAAAGCAGAGAGAAGACGAAAAAAAGAAAACGCCACAGCGGCAGCCCGGCATCCCCCCGGTTCAAATCGTGGGCGCTAAAAGCCTGACAGCTTCCTACTAACGTGCGAGATACTTGCTACAAAGTATCTTTTTCAACATGCCGCCCTGTCTCCAGAGCCGAGATCCGACTGAAAGGTACATGAAAGCGTCGTACCTCTGCCCTAAACTCTGCTGCTTTTTCGTGCTGGAACAAGTCAAACAGTTGGACATATAGTAGGTATAGATCTGAGTAGAAGCTCAGCTGTTAAATGAGAGAGCAGCAGAGCAACAGATGTCAATACCAATGTCAACTTCCTAGCTTTACTCACTTATACCCCCCCAAAAAGATGGAAAAGGGCAGCCAGGGTGCCACACCGCACTTCACAAAGCGCTCGTGACCTCGTGTTCGCCCACAAGAAGGGCGTCCATCTCTCCAGCTTCGTATTCCAATTAGACTAACCGCTTGGATTTTGATACTACTACATTTCCATGTCTTTTCATTCTTTCTCTCCAAAAGAGGAAAGCCAAACTCAGCTAAAAGTTCACCCTCACAAAAAATGCATCTTTCAGCTGCTCATTTTCTCTTCCCAAAAAAAAAAAACCTTGAAAGGCCCTCCCGGCTCTTCGGAACATCCGCCTGTGGCTCCCACTAACGCAGCAGAAAAAATGCTAGAGGAACCACAAGGGGCGCCACAGGCTTCGTAAGCTCGGTACCTGCATGGAGATACCCAGTATTACACGTGACTGTTATCCATAGAATCGAGATGCAGCTTGACAGCTTGACGGCTTGGCTGCTATTGCGTTGTCAACATGTGTGTATTCCAGTACATGCGAGTACAGTGTTGCTGCAGATCGCAACAGAGTATATGGGTACTCATCTATTGGTTCTAAATACTACTTGATATTGGAACCTGGAGCTAAAAGTCTTCATCACGTTCAATTCTCACGCTTCATATTGATTCGACATAGAGATAGAGTCATGTCCTAATACTACTCAAAGATTCGCTGCTTTTCGTTGCCCATTAAGTGAGCAATCATCCCTAAAATCAAAACCTGTACTCCGTATCGCTTCTATCAAAACCATCTACCATTAAGCATATACTTCCTCTCAAGCCATCTCCCAAATTGAAAGAGCACAAATTATATACGCAAGGGCTCAGCCAGTCCTGGCCCAATTAGCTATTAACAAATCCCCTAATTCCTCTCAAGCCAATGGACTTCTTTTCCTTCTTAGGCTTGCCAGACTCATCCTTGGCTTTTTCCTTACTATCTCTGCGGATCATACCTGCATATATGTCAGTACCTGTACATCCCAGAGTAAAACGTACGCTTCTCAATCACTTACTGCCAAAGTAACTTCTTTCCGGGCTCACCGACAGATTGAGCGATGAAGCCTTACCATCTGTCTCTCCTGTCCCCGCGGAGCTCGTGGGTTGTAGCGGCTGCAGCACAGAGGATGTCGGCGTCCCCGGGTGCGAGCCGAGCGATGACGCTGCTCCCTCAGCGTGTTCAGTCGCTGACAGAAGCTGGACTGGTCTTGACCTTATTGACATTGGGCCCGTAGGCGACAGCATGCCATCATCTTCACCTTCTGCTATGCTCGACTTCCCCGTTGTAACCGATGCCTCCAACTGCATATCCAGCAAGGACGACTGCAGTGCTGTGTATTTGCGCGACAGTAAGTTATACTGCTTCTGCATCTCAGCCTGCTTGGCACGGCTTGCTTCAAGTGAAGCCTCAACTGCAGCGTTCACTGCCGCAGCAGGTCGCTTATTTCGCTCCTCCAGAGCTGCCGAGAGCTGCGCCTGAAGCTCAGTCGCCTGGCCATGGAAAAGCTTCTTCATTCGCTCAAAATCCACCTCTTTGGCGCTCAACTTCATCTTCAACATTTCCATCTGATTCTGGGCATCCTCAGCCGCGTTGATAGAGGCTTGCCGTTCGACCTCTTTTGCCTGATAGTCCCGTTCAGATAATGAGAGTCGCTCAACCTCTGCCTTGAGCCTGTCAATCTCGGCGCCATGTATCTCAATCGACTGCATGTTTTGTCTCGCATTCAATTCCTTCACTTCGGCGTCGCATACAAGCTTGCGCAGCTTTTCGCACTCTTGCCTCTTCTCTTCAAGCTCTTTTCGAATGTACTCAGACTCCGTCTGCATCTTCTTTGATTCTTCCCTAAGATTTTTCAGCTTGTTTGCGAGGTCTGCCTCCCACTTCTTTGCTATGGCGCGGCGATTTTCCGACTCCTTGCGGACTTGCATCTCGGCCTGCTTAGCTTCTTCGTAGCTTCTTTTGAGGTTCCTATTCATCATGATCAGGTTCTGCATCTCTGCCTCCGTAGCAGCTTCCGCCATCTGTCGCCGTCTGAGCTCGCCAATGTGAGCCATGTGCTGCAGCTTGAGATACCTCTCGAAGCTAAGATCATTTTGCAGCAAGAGAAGCCGTCCTTGGAGATGGGCAATTTGAGCGCTGCTCACATCTCCTGCGGATACGGGCGTATGGGCCTGCGCAGGCAGCGTCATTGTCGTCAACGGTCTAGTATCAGCTGTAGACTCTTGGTGGCTCAGAGCGAGAGACGGCACGCTATCATTTGCCAACGATTGGTGAAGACTGCTTTTGATAACCTTATTTGATCTAATGAGGTCTTGAAGCTGGGTATGAGAAGCCGATTGGAGAAGCTGGGCCCCTGACGGGCTATCGATGCCAGCTAAATCCTTAAAGCGCGACGCTTCGACAGAGTCCCTCCCCGAATGTTGGCTCGACTGGGATCCACGCCTCATCAAGGTAGACGGCGCGCCATCGCTAGTGGCAGATTCTGTGCTGGATATGTGAGAGTTTCTCCACGAATTCACCTTGGTTACTGAACTGCTCAGCAAGCCCGGATCCGACCTCTCCTGGCTCAGTTCGTCGTTGGGGACCTGAGCTGAGGACTCCGGGGCATGTGGCAGCTCCAGGTGGTCAGGAAATAATTGGCTTGTTTGTGTAACGCACAGCGCCATGCATTCAGTCACGACTTCGGCAGCCTCACTCTTAATCCATCGCCCCAAATCCGTCTTTTCAGTTTCAATCGTGTACGTGAAGAAATTTGGATGCAGCAAGTGGCTTCTCCTAAACCGCTCCGATCGATGCCGAATCTCGGTAGGCTGTACTTCAATCTCGTCGGCGTTAGGCAGGTTTGCGTGCCGTATATATCTCTGTGGTTTGCGAATGTAATCCATAAAGTTTATAGGATACAGACCATATAAGATTGTGTAATAATTGTCCAAATGAGATACGTGGGCATCTTCCGTCTCCGGATCGTATGCAATCACCTCCCACCGATTTGTCTGTTCGGACTCATGCGAAGGCGACTCTGAAGCTTCCCAGAAGAGCATTCTGGTGTAAATGTTGAAGAGAGTAGGCAAATGTGGCACGAGAGAGCTAGGCATGTGCGGCAACAGCATGGCGAGAGCGGTTAGCGCAGCCGAAAGGACTGCAGTTGAAGTGTCTTGCTGCAGGCATGTCAAGAGATCCGTAAACAAGGGAGTATGGGCCACTTGATACAAGTGAGGTGGCTGTGACTGAAAATAATTGCAAAAGAAATTCAAGCTAATTTGTCTGTACTTTTTCTGGACGAAATAGCTATCCAAAGAGCAAAAGAACTCCTACATTTTGGTTAGCCAGGTTAAGATAAGGAAGACGGACAAAGAGAAGGGCTCTTCTTGATCAAGCAATTTCTCAACAGAAAGTAAATGAGAGAAAATACTATGGGATGAGGTATACGTGCCTTTGGTCGTTTCTTCCCAAACTGCCCTAGCGCATCACCTATCATCTTCTGGGTATGCTGCGACGGCAGGAAGCCTTCAAAGTGAGCTGGCTGAAAGTCTTCCATCCATATCTCGAAAAGTCTATCAATCAGAGGGTTTGAGGCAAAATCGTTGCCGGCGCCATCGTGGTACTCGTCGGCAATGGCAACAATCTCATTTAGAGTGTCCATAGCCTCGTCAACGATATGTTTATTGAAGTCTGTCTTGTCGAGCATTCCCTTGCAAGCCTCCAGCCACACAAGTATTCGCTCGGGGGTCTGCAGCACTCTCAGGAGCCGGCGCAGGATGCCCATCCAGGCGCAGGACGCAGCAGGGTTTCCCCGAACATTCTTATCGAAGATGAGGAGCAGCTCCTCCTGCAGGCGATCGGATGCGGCGTCGTCGTATTTCTCGTGCCTCCGCTGGTAGGCAGCAATCGTCGCGACGATCTCCTCGGGCAGAGGCACGGTTGGCTCAACGATGAACTCCTTGATGGCTTTAGACAGCTCCTTAAGGGATCTACCATAGGTGGGTCAGTCAATCAATCCGCGGTGCAGTCACCCCGCGCGGAGTGCTGAGGAGAGGCTCCAGTGATGTGCGAAGCCGTCGACTCAACTCACAGTGTGGTAGCCATCGCGGCAGCTTTAGCAGGAGGCAGGAGGTGAGGCCGTCGTGGCCACCGCCGCCTCCAAGTTCGCAGGTATTTCGGGTAATCTCAGACGCGGGTTCCTCTCGCAGGAACTTGGAACGCGCAGATGCGGCCCTGGGTGATATCACGGATCTCGCCTTTTTGGGGTTTAAGATGTTGCACGCCGGTTGCTGAGGTTTAGCCGGATGGAGAACAAGCTGGAAAAGATGGTTGAGCTTGATTTGCAAAGGCCAGGCAGGAAAAGGTCACACTAGGGCCAGAAGGTGCTAGCGGCAGCTAGTGTGGAAAAAGTTGAGGGAACCTGCCGATGCACCCCGCGACTGGTGGCAGAGCAGGTCCTCGGTACTGCACGCGGCGATGCTAGGGAAGAGGCCCGCCGACCTCCCTATTACCCCGCAACGAATCCCTCCCGCAGGACCCCACTGCTGCTACAGGCCCTGTTGGCCCTACGACGACCCCTACGAGGACCTGCCGGGGGTCTGCTGGAGCACTGCTGGAGCCCGCTGGAGCCTGCTAGCTCCTAGCGCTGCTGGCCCCGGGCACCCGAGCAGCAGTGGCTCGATCGACTGCTGATTTGGCTCCGCAATGGTGGCACGTAAATGGCCGGGAGCGTCGAGATGTGTCGAGCCACACACGACCAGCGTAACGACCTCTCAATGCCCTGATGATGCCCTGAGGCATGAGCCACCAGCTGCTCGACCAATTGACCGTCATCGCGTGATCCCCTCTTTGTGCCCCTCCTTCGTTCCCCTCCCTCTTATAGCTCCCGGCTACTTTCTACCTATTTCTTCTCGTCCTCGATCTCTTCTTTTTCTTCTTCTCCTCCTTCATCCTCATTATACCCCAAAGACAACATCTCAATTGACTGAGCACAGGACACTCGTCTCTTGCTCTTTATCCAAATATCATCCAACACCGCTCACATTACATTCTGAAGCTATCAATTGCTTCTGAGTGACACCCTCTTCTCTTTCTATTCATCTCATTCAGACAACGCCTCCCCCCGCATCGTCAAGATGGCTGCGAATAAGACTTCAGCTATTGCTGACCAGGAACCTGTCGATATCCTCTTTGCTCTGCAACCAGGCTTCGACATGCTTGACTTTGCAGGCCCATTGGCTGCCTTCCACAAGGCGCAACACGATCCCGCTGATTCCTGTATGTACTTTGCATGAAGCTTGGGCTGCCAGCCCCAGTGGTTCCGTACCCAATGCTAACCCGCTTCCCCGCAATCACAAACAGCCACCAGAGCATTTGAGGTGACGCTTGCGGGCCTTGAGCCACAAGTCCTCTCCGCCCAAGGCACCATCGTGCAGTCCCAGATCACCTTCAGGGAAGCTCACGAGCGTCTTGAGGAATTTGACGTTCTCGTCATTCTCGGCGGAAACGTCGATGAGGTCGTCAAGAAGGAGACTGAGCCTCTCGGCCTCATCACTGCCTTTTCCGACCTTCAGAAGAAGGATCCAGCCAGAGAGCGAACAGTCCTGTCCGTCTCCACCGGCTCACACCTGCTTGCCCGAGAGGGCATCCTCTGCGGCCTCTCTGCCACCACACTGTCCGACCATCTTACCACATTTGAGAACCTTTGCAGCGATGCTGCCACCCGATACCTGACTGAGCGAACCGATGTCATTGAAGATGCCAGATACGTAGTCAACAACCTTCGCTTTGAGCTCACTGAAGATGAGAGCCCATACACACGTCGCGCGTCCGATGCTGGACGACCTCACGGCCGGTAAGTGAAGCCTATATACGGATTGCCACGTCTGTATTCGTTTTACTAATGACTTTTATCACAGAAAGGGAAGCATCTCCTTCAAAGAGTCCAACACACGTCGTGAGTCGATTGCCAGACGTGCCGCCATGCGCCTCGGTGGCCTTCGAGTTATAACCGCTGGGGCTCACGGCGCTGGCGTAGATGCAGCTTTGTATCTCGTCAGCGCCTTGGTGGATGAGCAGTGTGCTGAGGAGGCGGCCAGGTCCATGCAGTGGAACTGGACCAAGGGTGTTGTCGTCGACGGCCTCGACGTCTAAATGGCACAAGATGCCGTGTAATCGCCAGCGGGAGCTTGGCTGTGTAGTAAATCTTGCGGATCTATGCGTACCTATAAACGCACCCGCCATGTTCATCAGAGAACTAGCTGTAGTATTATGATATGAATGGAATGAAACTTGAACTCTTTTTTTTTTATTACATGTTTTCACTTTCACCTCTCCTCACTTCAGTATCGCTACTAACTAAACCGACCTTTCGTTATACTGTAAGCTGCCTCAAGTCCTTTTCCCTTTGCTTGAGCTCCCTGAAAGCTGCCTGAAATGCCGGAAGACGGCAAACGTTAAGCTACCAAGCGGGGGCAGGTCTCTACTCGCTCGTATCTCAACGGCGTGTTATAGGCTTATAGCAGCCCACCCCACTCTCCTCACCTTGTGCCGGGCCCCATGAATAGCCAAGCGATGCAGCACTGAGTGATTGAGTTGAGGCGGGGAACCTTGCTAGTCCTGCATCTGGTGGATTCCCATCAACCTCTATTTCCTGTGAGTTCTCTTATTAAGCCTGGCTCTTACTCAAGTTTTCACTCATTTGCATGCAGCAAAAGCAGCCCTCACGTCACCGGTATCCACTTGATCAAAGTTGGGTTTTGCTTTAGAGGTTCACATAACCTGGACTGTGTGCTTGGTCTCTGATGGTCATTCTGGATAAGATATGAAAACCACTTCTTAGTAAGATCAGGATAGTGCTAGCAATCAAGTCCAGTAGCCAGTCAACAACTGTGAGGTAATGCTGGCAGAGGTGCCGTCGAAGCACACAGTCTCCTCTGTAATGGAAAGGCTAAATGAGTGCGGAGGTGGGATGACAAAGTGCTGTAGCATCGCTGCTAGCAGGTACAACCACAAGTAACTGCTGGCAGGAGGTCACGAGGAGGGGCAACGTCAAACCCCACCAAAGCTCTTAAAACGGCATCCTTTCCATTAACGATTCGACGTCTTATGCTGCGCTCCATAATACGTGCGTGCATACAAACAGCCTTTACTTGCAATATCGCCCACACAGAAGCACAGAGCAAGAAAGTAACAAGTGACCTCTAAGCCAAAACCAGCTAATCCGGAACCGGAACAACACGCGTCTTACATAATCCCACTCCAAAGCCTCTCATCCCACCATGGCCCAAAAGGTGCAGCTGAACAGGCTAGAAATGGAGCCTCTGCAGGGGGGAACGTTCCAAGTTCAGCCTCAGCCTTTAACGCTTCGCGACGCGCCGGAGTCTACGCTTTTCTTTTTGGCTCCTCCAACGCAAGAAGCTGTCGCCACGATACCAAAAACGTCCCCTTGACCTCTGACTTTTTGCACCTACGCCTGCATAATAGTCGTCGCATAAGTCTGAATTTTTCACTAGTTTGATTTATTTCACTCCATTCGGCTTTGTCATTGCGGCTTGCTGCATACAGAAAGCTGTGGCCTTCTTCCTTGCTTGCCCCCCTTGTCGAACGGCCAACCAAACCAACACAAAAACACAAAACATAGCAAGACAAATTTCTCCTTTGTGTTGACATCAACAGTAGGTGCTGCAGCGCATCTACAAATATCTTTACAATGACCGACTGGTCGAAGCTCAAAGTCGTCGACCTTAAAGCCGAGCTGAAGAGCCGTGGCCTGCCTTATGCAGGGCTAAAGGGGGAGCTGATTGCGCGATTGGTCGCCGCCGACGCGGAGGCAGCGCAACAGGAAGAAGAAAACCCGGAGGAAGAGGAGAAGCCACAGGAACCAGAGCCAGAGCCAGAAGTTCAGCCAGAGCAAGAAGTCCAGCCCGAGACCCAACCAGAGGCGCAGCCAGAGGCACCCACAGAGCCAGCAGCTGTCGAGACAGAGAATGTCGAAGCCACTCCAGAACCAGTCGCGCTGAAGCCTCCCTCGCACATCAAGGAACGCGACCCGACGCCCGAAGAGAAGGCCAATGCTGTCGAAGAGGCACAGCCCGCGCAGCAAGAGGAGCACAATAAGCCCATAGCGGCAGCTGAACCTGAGCCAGCCGCGCCAGTCGCTGAAATTCCTTCCGAAGCTGCAAAAAGCGATGACAATGTTCAGGGCGGTGAGGCAGCGGCCAGCAGTCTTCCGCCAGCTGAAGTAACTCCAGCTCCCATCGAACAAGCTACTTCGTCGTCCTCCCCCAAGCCCGAAGAACAGTCAACTGCACAGGCTTCCATCGAACCGACACCAGAAGCTCAGAAGCGCAAGCGACGCTCGCACAGCCCTCTGCCCACCGAAGAAGATATAGCCCGAAAGCGCGCGCGCTCTGACAAGACTGCAAACGGCGACGAGATTCATGCCACGGCCGAAGCGAACGAAGCCGATGTTGATATGACTGGTGCTGGCGCGCCTGATTTCACGCCACAGACGATCGACAAGGGCGAATCTGATACCAAGGTCATCGCAGACTCGCGTAAAGAGTCGCCCTCACCAGTCGCTAATGCTCCACCTGTGGAGATGGATTTCGAAAGAGACGTAGAGCCAGCGGTGCACACTCCCACTGCCGCCCTCTACATCAGCAATCTCATGCGCCCCTTGCGCGATGTCGATATTCTTGAGCATCTTGGTAGCCTGGCATCTACATCCAGCGCAGACTCGGGGCAAGACCGCATTGTCAAGTTTTATTTGAACTCAATCCGCACCCATGCATTTGCTGTCTTTGATACGGAGCTGTCTGCCACTCGAGTTCGCACCGCGCTGCATAAATGCGTTTGGCCAAACGAAAGCAATCGCAAGGCACTTTCAGTCGACTACATCCCTCCCGGGAAAGTGGATGAATGGATCGATGTAGAAAAAGCTGGTGGAGCACGATCCTCTTCCCGCTGGCAGGTGGTATACAGACCTGGGCCAGATGGCTTCGAAGCTGTGCTAGAGTCCGGATCTGTATCGAAAGCGAGACCAACCGAGCCGCCACCACCGTCCAATATTGGTGCCGATAGTACCAATGCTATCCCTATTGGTCCTCGAAGCCACCGTGAACGTGAGCGAGAGCGGGATCGTGATCGTGGCATGATGCCTCCACCACCCACGGGGCCAAGAGGTGGGCGTGCAGGAGCAGGAGCAGGAGCAGGAGCAGGAGCAGGACCCGGTGGCCGGCTCAGTACCAGTCCCCTGGACCATGTCGTGGAGAAGACTCACTCTTGGCCTCCCATCTCATACCAGATGGTGTCTGAGGATCTCGCCCGCAGCCGCTTGGACAAGATGCGAAGCCACTACACTCGCGACAAATCCCGTGATTTCGGACGTGAAATCAACCGCTACTCCTTTGAAAACGGAGACGTCTTTGTGGACCGCGGCAAAGAAGTTTTCGAGGGTATCCGACCTCCTCACCGCGAAGGAGATCGTCGTGGTGGAGGCGGTAGTGGTGGTGGACGAGGAGCTCGTTCGCAAGGCCGAAGAGGACCGCCGCCGCCTTTCCGACAGAGGAGTGATAGATACCTCCCCGGAGCTGGCGGTGGCGGCGGTGGCTCCAGCTACCGCTCTGGAGGCGGACGACGCAGAGACAGTGACGATGACCGACTATCGCGACGCGACGATTCTAGAGATAGGGATTATAGAGACCGCCGCCACCGCTGAGGAATGCGATTATTCACGATACTTTCTTTCTTTTAATGGATGTCATCTATCGACTCGTCTTTTCAACCGATATTTTTCGGGTTTTTCGTCTCTTTAATAGGAGGGACATCGTTGAAATGGCCGACGAACTTTTTCTTTCTCTCCTTCTGATATCTAAACCTTTCTATTTGCTGCCCCTTTTTTATATGAAAAGGCTCTTTAATCTTCTATTCTTTTCCTTTTCTTTTCTTTTACTTGATTCAAACTTGAGATGTGAGCGAGAGATATCTGAGGCTATATCGGAAATCATACAGGGCTGCCAACGGCTTTTATTCATGAGACGAAGGCAGGAACAGGGATAGGACAGGGCAAGGACAGGGATTGGCACGGACGGGATTGGCACCCGAAGGGAAACATGATTCTGGACTCGGGCAAGAAGGGAGAGTGGGCTTTATGACTACTGGACGGCATTTGTATCTTTTGTAGGATACTGTATTATCGTGTATACCATGTATGACAAGATACCATTATCATATTCAGACTTGTAGTGCCTGGCTGTGAAGCGAATTGCTGCAAGAGAGCCTCAGAGATGGATGACGAAATACGCACTGGAACATGCAGATTGCAAAAAAAAATTATTGATATTTGTACTTGTTTTTTTCAAATTATGCTAATATTTGTATCCATGAATAAGCCACAATAGTACGATCTGATTTTCCGTGATACTGAAAAAAAAAAAAAAAACGCCCAAAACTTCCAACTCTACATCTTGTCCCTCCCCAAGTCAGCTAATGCTTTCTCATGCCAGTTTCGTCATTTATGCAAAGCCAACAAGAGGAGTGGGCTCAACACCGACACGCTCCTTGCTCAAAACGTCAAGGATGTACTGGCTAGGACGGTTGTCCTTGAAGACGTGCTGAGCGCTCTTGGCAGCGCGGACGTTCTCAAGGTACTTCTCAAAGAGGTACGAGCTGTCCATTGGGCCACCCTTGGCCTCGGGGTGGAACTGGGTAGAGAAGATGGGGCGGGTGCGGTGCATCATTCCCTCGTTGCTGCCGTCGTTGAGGTTGACAAAGTACTCCTTGAAGTCGTTGGGCAGGGTGGTGGAGTCGACGGCGTATCCGTGGTTCTGGGAGGTGATGTGGCACTGGCCGGTGGTCAAGTCCAGGGCGGGGATGTTGTGGGCTCGGTTGCCGTACTTCATCTTGATCGTCTTGGCGCCGACGGCCATGGCCAGAAGCTGGTGGCCGAGACAGATTCCCATGATGGGGATGGGAGAAGTCTCCATCAGGCGGGCAAGGTTGTAGACGGTCTCCTGGCAGTGGATTGGGTCGCCGGGGCCGTTGGAGATGAAGACACCGTCAAAGTGGTGGGCAACCTTGTGGATCGGGTAGTTGTAAGGGAAGACGGTGAGCGAAGCACCACGGCTGACCAAGCTGCGGAGGATGTTCTCCTTGACACCGCAGTCGATCAAAGCAATGTGGAGGTCAGCGTTGGGAGACTCAACCACGAAGGGAGCCTTGGTGCTGACACGCTTGACCAGGTTGATCTGGCCAGGGTCGACAAAGCCTTCGTCCTCATCGGCATCGTACTCGTCGCCAACGGAGATCCTAGCGAGGGAAGAACCCTGCTCTCGGAGGAAGGTGACAATGGCTCGAGTATCGACGCCGGAAATGGCGGGAACACCCTCGCGAGCACACCAATCGCTCAGACTCTCGACGGCGGTCCAGTGGCTGTATTGAAGGGCGACGTCGGAGACAACAACACCAGCACACTGAATGTGAGGAGACTCAAAGTACTTCAAAAGGTTGTACTCGTCACGCTCACTGGAGGGAACGCCGTAGTTGCCAATCAGGGGCTGGGTGAAGACGAGGATTTGGCCACGGTAAGAGGGGTCGGTCATGGATTCGGGGTAGCCGACGAGAGAAGTGGTGAAGACGGCCTCGCCAGAGATGTTAGTGTTGGCGCCAAAGGCCTTGCCTCGGAAAATGGGGCCATCCTGTTCAACGTTCATGTTAGCACATTTTCTATGCTATATACCACCACGTAGTGTATATGGCGCATCTTACTCGGATGGTAAAGGTGGCCGGCAGAGAAGCCCCGTTTTGAGCAGTCTGGAAAGGCACAGTCTTCCCCTTTGTGCTGCTGGCGAGAGTCTGGCCAGACACAAATCGGGTCTGGAAAGCAACTCGGCGAGTGGAGCCCGCGGCAGCAGTGGCCGCTTTCTGGGCAAAATTGGCCGCCAGCTTGGAGAACATGGCAGCGGTTATTCGAAAATTGGTTGTAGTTTGTTGTAGTCACAGGTGGTAGAAGCAGTAATCGGTTGTTGGGGGAGCTGTTTTAAGCTGACAAGGCCCTCCACAGGTGGTCTATGTGAAGCAGGTTAGACGGCATCATGAGGGAGTGAGTCATGGTAACACGAACCAGAGAGATAGTCCTGTAGAACACAGCAAAGTTAGCATTTTGAGTCAAGACGAATTGGAACGAATAACTGTCGATTGAAGCAGACAAGGAAGCAGTAGATGCAGCCCAACCCGGAAGACGGAAATGGACATTAAGTGTAGAGCGGACGTGGGGTAATTGTATCAGCCGCAAAAAACAGAGTCACATACCTGAGAAGTGAATTCCGACGGGCGCCCGTTCATAAGGGCGGATTAAGAAACGGTAGGCTGACGATGTAAGAACGAGGCGCGAGGCACTCTAGAATAGATTGAGAAGGTTGATTGATTTGAATGCGTGATGCACAAGGTGCGATTGGACTGATGACTCTTCTGACTGATGGAGAGAGAGAGAAAAAGAAAAGAGGAAAAGGAAAAGAAGGGAGAAAAGGGTGCATCGGAGGGGTCAGATTATAACAAGTTTAGTGCCATCTCTTTTTTTTTTCTCGCGCTCAAGAGATAATGACCAACGCCGAATTCCCGGCAATTGGTTGGCTGGAGACGTCGCTAGCGGCCTTTTGACGTGCTGAAAGGAGGGGCAGCTTGTCCTGTTTGGGCGAGCTCTGGGGCGCCGATATCGTTGTGGCCCCTGTGCCCTATTCTATGACATTGAATCATTACGGCGGATCTCGTTTTATTATCTCTTGCGAGTTAGAGGCGGGAGAGGACATGACTAGAGATGGGGATAGAGATGGGGATGGAGATAAGGGACAAAGCGCTGAGGGTGCTGCTGTTTTCTGGTGTCAGTTGCGTGGATAGCAGGTGAACTGCCATGCTGAGTGCTGTTTACTCTAATTACAACTCATCCTACTGGCAGTGACAAGTGAGTGATTCATTGTTCTTTGGTGGGGTAAACGGAGCACTCAATTGACGTTCCAACATCGTCGCCCGATTCGTTTCAGTGCTGCTACAATGATTCATAGCATAATAGGTAGTGTACACGTACATTGATAGAGGTTGGTTTCATGGCTTTCTTCCAAAAACATGCATCTTCCTTGTCAACCATCTCTTTCTCTTAGGTCTTAAATCTAGACGCATTTTCTATATTCCTGCTAAAGCAGGTAGTAGTGATCTTTGCAATAGAAATGAGCACCAAGGAAACCGTAATTTGCAATTCATAGAGTCATAACGGGGGTTCTAATTGAAACAAGTCTACTTGATCCCGCCCAGTCCTTCCTTTGCATACTGTATATTTGAACAATCCAAAGCTCCCATTTACAAAGCACCAAGCTCCTTCAGCTTGCCAATCAAGCCATCTACATCCTCAACCTTGCCACCGCCCTGTCTCACAGGAGGCTCTGTACATAAACGCATAATAATTAGCAATCATAATCATCACATATATAGAAAGAGGAGGAAAAAAAACCCTCAAAGGATAGGCATGGAAACTCACCAGTAACCTTCAAGACCTTCAACCTCTTCTCATTCGTCAGCCCAAAGTCTTCCAACGTCTTCTTATCCAACTTCTTCTTCTTCGCCTTCATAATATTCGGCAGCGTCGCATATCTTGGCGTATTCAACCGCAAATCCGTCGTGATAATCATCGGCAGCTTCGCCTTGACCGTCTCCACACCGCCATCAATTTCCTTCGTCACAGTCACAGCATCATCCGCCCCAAACTCAATCTTGCTCGCCTGCGTTGCCTGCGGCCAGTTGAGTAAGCCCGCAAGCATCTGGCCCGTCTGCCCGGCGTCGTCGTCGATGCTCTGCTTGCCCAGGATGACCAGGTTGCTCTTCTGCTCCTCGACCGACTTCTTCAGCAGCTTGGCCACTGTCAGCGGCTCCAGCTCCTCGCCGTCCTTGATCTCGACATGCACCGCGCGGTCGGCGCCCATGGCCAGGGCTGTTCGGAGAATCTCCTGCGCCTTGGATGGCCCGGCTGAGAAGGCGCAAATGTCTTCGACGCCGCCGGGGGCGCGCTTCTTCTCGCGGATTCGCACGGACTCTTCGACGGAGAGGTCGTCAAAGGGGTTCATGGAGTGCTTGACGCCGGCTGTCTCGACGCCCGTCTGGGCCTTGTTGACTCGCGGCTTGACCTATACAGATGATGGGGGCAAGGTAAGCATTAATTCAATTCAATTGCCATCTCTTGTGACAATGGGGAGGGAAAGGAAAAAGCAGGGCTCAGCTTACAGCATAGTCAATCACTCGCTTCACTGGTACTAGAATCCGTAGGGCAGACATTGTAGCGGCTGGATGTTGGATGATGTGAATGCAGCCAGAGTGAGGGACGTTGCCGATATTAACATGCTGCCGCTACCCAAAAGTAGCCGGCCGACAAACGACCCGAGCCTCCATACCGGCTAGGGCCGGCTTCCGTACAACCTCGGATACGCGCTCACGTGATATTTGCGCCCGCCTTGGTGCGCATATGAGTTGTAGAAGGAAGCAGAGGCCGATTAGGCTAACAGGTAGAATGATGAATGATGAAAGATGAAAGAATTAGAAATTGATATTTAGATGCGTTCCGTATATACATGAATATTCACCCTCTAATAATATTGCCTCCTCAGCAATACTCTTAACATTGCATTCTGAATGGTTGAATAAAGTCCTTCGCCAGCGGTGTACTCTCATATGCGTGACTGCATACTTGATCCAGGCCCATTTCGTCAGTCAAGGTGCCGTAGATTTTCGCCCGCCGGGGTCAGTCAGTCAGTCGGTCAGTCGTCATAAGTAGTGGTATATGGGGGCCGTGTCGTATCTCTGGTCAAAGGCTACCATCTTGTCAATTTATTCCAAGCGCTCGTATTTCGTCAAGTGTATCTCTTCAGGCCACAAGTGCTCCAACGCCAGCAAAAGCAAACATTTAAAAGTTTATTCGCAGTTGCTTGTTTACCAATCATCCCACTCATCGCCAGTCTTGGGCTTCGGCGCCGGGGCTCCAGGAGCCGACGACTTCTTCCCCATACCAATAGCACTTGTGCCGATAGCATTGTTCTGCTTGTTTTGGTCTGCTAGGCTGGAGAAGTCGTCCCAAAAGTCTTTACGGCTGGCATCCAGCGGCGCGTTTCTCTTGGTAGCGTCGGGACCTTCGACAAATCTGTTGAAGCCATCTTGAGCGTTTTTACCCGCAAGCTGGGCCTGCTTGGCGAGCTGTGCAGCCGTTTGCTGGGCCTGCTTGGCAAAGTCACCCTCAGCAATCTAGAAGGAAGCAATATTAGTATCGGGATCATGTTTGTATAGCCTCGTACTGAGCGAGAGAAGGGAACAGGACATACGCTCTTCGCAGTGGGTTGAATGTATCCGTCATTCACCGTCTTGGCCGTCTTCGTCACTGTAGACGCAAACCAGCCGAATCCCTTGGTAATGGCACCCATGGGGTCCTTCTGTAAATCGTCAAACATGGGCATTCCTCCCTGGCTCGACGTGTTCGAGGCCGGCATGTTTCCAAACCCAGCATATTTTCCACCTTGGCTCGGTGGCAGATCAGCAGGCCGTGAGGCATTGTCGGCTCCCAGCTTGGCAAAGTACTTGTCGTCTACCTTGACCTTTCCTCCCTGCGAGGGACTCTGGCTTCGGTTCGCGGTTCCACCGAGGGGTGTGCTTGTGCGCGCCCCCGACTTTGCCGCCGCCGGGGATGCCTGCGCGGCAGCGGGCTTCTTCTCTCCGGGCACGTATTCTCGCTCTTCCACCTTGCACGTCAACCTCTCCTTCCACTCTTCGCCAACCTCGCCGCTGTATCGCTCTGCAATCGTGGCGTCGTCCCAGGTGAGGCCCCTCATCTGCGTATCCTCGTGCTCCTCAAAGAATTTCCTCCAGCCCTCGTTGCCGCCCAGCCGCATGCGCTCAATCTCGTTGGCCTTGAAGGCGTCCATGGATATGCTTCGCACAAAGGAGATGTGCACGCCGAGCCCGCGGTGGACTCCAGCGCAGCTCAGGCAGATGAAGATGCCAAACTTTGGCGACGCCCACTGTGGCGACGGGGCATTGCAGTCGCAGCAGACATTGTTCTTGGACTCTTTTTGCAGAGCAGCCAACTAATAGAGACCGGTTAGTTGTCTGGCCCTAAATCGATTCCAAATGCCAAGCCAAATGCTCGATGCAAGGACTTGTATATCCATGCCATCACTGTCCGCAGTAAAGGGGGGAACGAGAGGCAAAGGCAAGATTTGGGGAAACACAAAGAAGGGCTGCGCCGTACCTTGGACCGAGTCTCGGGGTCAACCTCCCACATGGCCTTGGAAGCCATTGCGTCCCAGTGAAGCGGATGAAGATAGCGACTGCGAAATCTATGTCAGAAAAGCTGGGCGGTGCGTAAAGGCTCGAGAAACAATTGCGCTACGTTTCGGCTGGCGCGTGATGTTTTGCGTGGCCAGCGCCGTCACAGCAGGGAGGTTGTCGCGGCAAAAGGAGAGCGGGGCGCAGGCGCTCCAGACCTGAAACCCCATAATTTCAGCGAGCAGGTGCTTGGGGGGGTGGGAGCTGGAGGCCTTTCTGCGCTGTCCCTTTGGGTGCTTCCAGTGCTGCAGCCATGCGCTACCAGGCCCGGCCAAGCGCTGTGTGCCCTGTTGCTCCCAGTACAACAAGTAAGTTCCAGGTACCCGCGTTGATGGCATGCAGCCACTTATAACATCAAGTGGATGGAACAGCCAAGCAACATTGAACCCAAATGCTCCATTCCGCTGTAGCCAATCCATCCACCGTCTCATTCACATTGAGTGCCAAGTCTGAGAGTTCCCTATCAAGGCGTATAGCACAGATACGAGGTACCTCCTCCTGGATCAACCAAGAACTGAGGGCTACTGACTGATACGCCCATGACGTTTCCTTGCTTACATGGGACAATCCAGCCAACCAGGGCATCTCTCCAGCTGCCATTATCAGCATCACGTTATCCTCCAGTATCAAGAGGTACCTGCTCTGCACCACCTTTCGTACCTTACCTGTATCGTCCCTTACAGCTCCCCTGTCACATGCATTCAAGGGCACCTGGCCCGCGTCGTCTTTAAATTCACGACACACAAGTACAAGCTCAAAAGCACACACAATATCAGTCACCATGTGAAAAGACAATCACTTGCAAGACAAAGACACAGTCCAAAATCACAGCCAAAATATACTCTTTTTCATTCTCGTGTTCGCTTTCCTTTTTTTCTGCTTGCTGCCTTTGACCTGAGTTCCCGCATAGCTAGTAGAAAATGTAGTAACTAGGAAAGGCATTTATGAAAAATAAAACATTTGAAGCGGGCTTTTTTTGTTGTTTTTGTGTTTCAAGTCCCATGCTCCCGACGGAGGGGATTTATTAAGTTGTCAAGTAGTAGCTGGTAGCATCATACCGTACCTGGGATATTAAAGAGTTTCAAGCGATATCTGCGTGTAGCTCCGTTCCAGCCCCAAAGTAAGATATAAAGCCGTCCGTGGCGTCATAATTGAAATCGTCCAAAATCGCGTGCCATATCATAAAAGAGTACTCATCAAACGCAGGCGGCAATGTTCAGCCTGTGAAAAAAAAAATGCCGCGGTTCAACATTTAAGCAGTGGCGGCAGGAGCCTCAGCAGCGGGCTGCTCAGCAACAGCCTCAGTAGCGCCCTCCTCAGCGCCGTTGGAAGCCGGGATGTTGGACTCCTCGTCGGTCTTGTCAGGGCTATCGATGGCGACCTTGACGGCAATCTCACGTCCCTCAATCTCCTTTCCGTTCATCTCAGCGACGGCCTTCTGCTGGAGGTCCTCAGAAGCCAGGGTAACGAAACCGAAGCCACGTCCCTTGCGGGCCTCGCCACGAGCCTGGAGCTTCTTGATCATGAAACGGGGGATGGGTCGGAGAGCAATCTTGGCTGACGAGGGGTCGTAGGCCTTGAAGAGCTCAAGGAGCTTCTCATATCACTTAGTACGCAACTTCATAAAAGTGGGCTATAGACTACTCACCTTCTCCTCAGTAAGATCATATGGCAGGTTGGCCACCATGACCTTGGTCTTGGAAGGAATGCCATCAGCAGGTGGGCCACGCTCCCGGCGCTCGCGCTGAGGGCGGTTCTGGTTCTTCTTCTTGTCGTCCTTATCCTCCGAGACGGTGTTGGTGATGTCCTTCAGAGGCTCGGCCTGGGTGGCTTCACCTTCGATGGCTTCATCTCCCTTCTTCTCATCGTTCTCCTGTAATATCACGTCAGCATCGTTGTAAGATAGCCGTTGGTAGGAGAGGAAACTCACGCCAGTGGCACGACCGCCACGGCCACCGCGGCCACCACGTCCACGGCCACGTCCGCGACCGCGACCAGAGGCTCGGCGGCGAGAGCCCTCCGCGCCAGAGCCCTCTCCGTTAGCACCCTCAGTCTTCTCACCAGCAGGCTCGGGCTTGCGAGCCAGCTGAACGGAAACCTTTCGCTCAAGGATCTCCTTGCCGGAAAGCTCAGCAATGGCACGGTCAGCCTCGTTGGGGGTAGAAAGGTCGACAAAAGCGTAACCGACAGGGCGGTCGGTACGGGGGTTCTTGGGGATCGAGACAGACTCGCTGCAATGGTTTGTCGTCAGCAGGTGCTTTAGCAAGAGGGCGATAGAGGGGTATAGACTGGGCAGCAGAGAAAACAGGGAAGCCGCAAAGCTCTTGCTGCAGCTTGGTGGAGGGTAACAGGGCAGATGAAGCTCATCGTGTGATGTCAAGCCAGGTAGGTAGGCAACACTGAGGCGGAGTGACATTCACCGCCAATCAGGACACCGTCGCAAAGTTAGGCCGCGAAAGCATTCACGCGGAGCCATGTCTTGTCATCGGCCACGCAGCCTCGGCAGATACAAGAGAAGAGCATCCAAAAAATTCATGTCGAGCAGTGGATACGCAAGAAACAAAGGTACCCGGAAGCGTGTATAAACCAGATGCCACTTACACAAGATAGCTTTTGAAGAAGTCCTTCAACTCTCCCTCAGTTGTCGCATATGCCAGGTTGCCGATGTACAGGCGGCGGCCCTCAGCAGCGCTGGCCGAGGCGGCCTCGTTGGCAGCAGCCTTGTCATCGGCAGGCTTGTTGATTGAGAGGTTGCCCAGAGCGTTTGCAGCGTCATTAACGGGGGCTTCGGAGCCTTTCTCCACGTTGGTAGCAGACATGGTGACGAGTCGGTGGATGGAGAGGGGATGCTTGGTCGGCGTATGACGTGTGGCGGATGGAAAGAGTCGAGCTTGAACTCTGGTGCAATGAGGGAGGAAGTTGGGTCAGGGTAGCTTGGTGCCCTAGAAACAAGTTGAGAGAAGACAGACGTCGGTGCGTTGCGCGGAAACACAGGTTGACTGAAGGTGTGTGATGGAGGAGAAGAGAAAGGAAAAGGGGAGACGGCGAGGCGATAACTAGAAATATTTTTTCGTAGGGCGGTGCTTGCGGTGCTCGCAAAGGGCCGTGCAGGGGGGCAGGTACGAGCATCGCAGGTGCATCTGGTCTCAGGGCGCAGGTACCACGCGGCCGGGCAGGTACATGCAGCAGAGAGGGGGAGGGGGCGCGATGCAGGCGACACGCGGCAGGCTTAGAGAGTTCGGACGGCGCAGGCAGAGAGGCGGCAGGTATCCCCCAGCTTTGAGGTACCCGGTTGCGCTACCAGCGGGTACCAGTGCCTGAAGTACCCCGCGGCCCCTGGAGCACAGCGGTCAAGGTGTATTGCGTACCGGCATGCGACTTGATATTCTGGAACACTTCGAAGCTGTCTGGTGCGCTGAGGGCAGCAGATGGCTGGCTGGATGCCCCTATTCGCCAGGCAAGATTTGGCGGGTTTCTTTGTTGCCACTGAGCATGCAGCCCATCGGTTCATCACCCGATACCGTGCAAAAAGCACCAGGCACGCTGAGGCCCAAGGCGTGATGCCTGACTGCGCTGTAGCCCCTCAGAACCCAACTGCTGTACTCCAAGCGTACTGCCTACCTAGCACCTGCAGTACACGACATGCGAGCCCGAATCTGATGTAATGCGGCTGCCCAGCATCGACTAAGGTTTGTGCCTGGCGACAGAAGCGCCGAGTCTCTCCGTGCCTGCCGCTCGTTACTGCGAGGGAAGCTGCAGCTGAGGGGCCAAATCAAACCGTTCCTGCTGCGTCCCTAAAATCGTGAGGGAGCTTGTTTCAAGGGCAGCCGCAGTGCATCAGAAGCCCCCTATTTCTTACTCCGTCGGTTCATCCCTACTTTTACATCTGTACGAGCTCAGGAGGCAGTCTTTTCGTGGCTAGTGCACAGGAATGAGAAATAATATTGCATGAATTCACGAGGCAGCTTATTCTTACTAAGTACTGCCTGCTCTGAGGCCGCGAACCTGCAGCTGCACTCAGCTCCAGCGTCCATATTACTAAGTTGCACCAAATTCTTACCCATGCTTGTCTCGTCTGCTCCAGTAATACCTCTCCGCACAGTATCAAGGCGTTGCAGCACGACATGCACCTCTAATAAGGTACCATAGAGGGAGACAGAGCTGCTGCTTTCTTGCTGCCCCCTTTCACCTTGACCGTTCACCTTGCATCTAAAGGAAACTTGACACCGGTTGACACAGGTCTCCATCCATCGTCCAAGGGTCGCAGCAATCCCAGCAACTCTTGTTGAGGCCCTGGTCGATAAACGATCCACACCAGGCCAAGGTGGGCATCGTGGCTCGGGCCACGGCCAAACATCGCAATCCTGGACAGCATGAACGCTTTTGATTGTCTCGCTTAAATCCTTATTTGCGCGTTGGGTATGATCCGGCGATTTAATTAATTCTTTTTCCATCTTCTTCGCTGTCACCTGCCGGCCGCTACTTTGCATACCGTAGCACTTGCACGTAATACCAGGTATCTGCCACCTCATCTCATCGGCTCCTAGCGATTAGCAGCGCCCCGAGCTGTTTGCTAGCCCAGCCACAAGAACCGAGCAAGCTCTTCCCCAGATTCCGTCGTTTGACTAGCCAAAGCACTGATAAAAAGTGTTGCTGGTCACAAAGAGTCCCATGAGACAGGTATCACGCGAATATAGAGTGTGCAGTGGGTATTTGTTGCCTTGTTTAGTGCATGGCACACAAAACAGGTTTGTAAAGGAAAAGAAGAGTGTGACGCAGCTGTTAAACTTTGCAGTGGCTGCCTACTGGGAGGAGTTGAGCAAACAAGTATTGACCGTAGCCACATGCTCACAAACTATGCAACCTGCAAACATCAATCAATTTTACAAATTGTTAACAGAAGCTCTGTATGAAAATGACCATTCTTCGTCCCTTTCAACAGACTACCTACCTAGGTAGTAATCTAGTAATCTCTTCGTTTTCTCATGCATCGGCCCGCACGTGGCTGAATGCCCGGAGAGGCAACTTTCATTGCTGACGTCGATATTCAGATCGGACGGACCCCACCAAGCGGCAGCCCGGCATCGGACGCCCGAAACTTATTTTGCTTGGCGCCATCAAAGCACGGACAAGCATTTATCGCTTACAACGAAGCCCCGAGATACTCCCCCATGCAAGTATAAACCTGCGATACGGCAAGACACAAGACAGAGGAAAAGCAAAAGTCCTTGATTATCGGTTATCATGCCAATTCCAAGCCATACGCATCGATAGCAGGCAACGACGTCCGTGGAGCAGTTGACTTCCATCTCCGCCACAATGACGGGCCACGAGAGAAGTGTCTTGGTCCTGTACGGATCTGAGACGGGCAACGCCCAAGATATAGCCGAAGAACTTGGCCGGCTGTGTCAGCGGCTGCACTTCAAGAGCCATGTCGAGGAACTCGATGCCGTGGAACTCGTACGCCATTCTCAATTCTCACTTCTCATATACATGTACCCTCTACCTGACTCATTGCGAACTAACAAAATCTCACATCACAGAGTGCTTTACTACAGCACCAACTCGTGATATTTGTCATTTCGACAACCGGCCAAGGCGACATGCCGCACAATTCACTTCTCTTCTGGAAGAAGCTCCTGCGGAAGAAGCTGCCCCCAAATTGCTTAAGCCGGCTGAAGTATTCCTGCTTTGGCCTTGGCGACAGCACATATCTCAAGTATGAAAACATGCTCTTTCATATTCATCACTGTGAACTGATCTTAACTTTCTGTTAGATTTAATTGGGCTGCGAGAAAGCTCGTGCGCAGATTGGACCAGCTCAGTGCTACCACATTCATTGACATATGTGAGGCAGACGAGCAGTTTCCAGATGGGTAAGATTTAATGTACTTTCAAATATGATATATACGCACAAGAAACTCATACTCTACTTTTATAGCATTGACGGTAGCTTCGTAAGATGGGCCGACGACCTAAAAAAGCACCTCCTTGAGCATTATCCGCCTCCGTCAGGGTTAGAGCCAATTCCCGACGATACCATGCTGCCAGCTCGCTGGTCTTTAGGTCCGGCTTTAGCAGATTTCTCAGAAAAAACCCAGGTTGTCGAAATGTCTCCTCTCAAACGCAAAGACTCAAACGGCACGCTCACGGCGCCAAACTTGCCTCCACCCGGTCTTCTACCCATACCCGCCGGATGGACGGCGACATTGACCACGAACGATAGGCTTACACCAACGGAACACTGGCAGGATGTTCGCCTTGCATCATTTGATATCCCAGCTCACCAATCAAGTGGAAAAGTCCAATGTGTTCCAGGAGATTGCCTCACGCTATATCCAAAGAACTTCCCCCATGACGTCCAGAGGCTGATTGACCTCATGGAGTGGAACAGCATCGCCGACCAGCCACTTAATCTATCCGCCTGCGAATCCCTGCCGCGTAACCTCTATGCGCCAGCATGCTGTACGCTCCGCGATCTGCTTCTCAACAACATCGATATAACTGCCATCCCGCGTCGTTCATTTCTGAAAAACATGTCCTACTTCTCTTCAGACGAATACCATCGTGAACGATTGTTAGAGTTCACCATGACCGAGTATATAGACGAATATTTTGACTACGCCACACGATCCCGCCGCAGCATCATCGAAGTCCTCGATGAATTCACCTCCGTCAAAATCCCAGCCGAGCGCCTCCTCGACGTCTTCCCCTTGATCCGCGGCCGCGACTTCAGTATCGCCAACGGGGGCATATCAGCAAATCATCCTTCTAATAACGACGTGACCAAAGTCGAGCTATTAGTCGCCATGGTGAAATACCGCACCATCCTGCGCAAACCTCGAGAAGGCCTCTGCTCTCGCTATCTTGCCAGCCTCCTTCCTGGCTCAACCCTGCGCGTCTCTTACAAACCCGTCCTCTCGCCTATCCATGGCACCTCAAATGCCCAAAGGCCGCTTATAGCCATGGCCACAGGCACCGGCGTCGCTCCCGTACGATGCCTCATCCACGAACGCCTCACACATGCCAGCCCAGCGCCCATGATCATCTTCTTCGGCAATCGTAATCGCGCTGCAGATTACTTCTTCGAAGACGAATGGCTCGCGCTCTCCGAGGAAGCGGCGAAAAAGAACACTGAGCTTTTGGTGTTCACAGCGTTCTCGAGAGACCAGCGCGAAAAGATTTACGTGCAAGACTTGGTTCGCCGAGAAGCGCCGAGGTTGGAGAAGCTGATACCCCAAAGAGCCATTTTTGCTGTCTGTGGAGGCTCCTCCAGGATGGCTGATTCGTGCAAGCGTGCGGTTTTTGACCCCTTTATCGAAGGGGGCGATGAGGAAGCGAGGAAGGAGATGTTGGAAGCGATAACGTGGTGGCAAGAGATTTGGTAGACAACTTGCGTGGGAAGTTTTGTGAAGCAAAGGATAGATTTGGCGTGTATTGAGCAAATTTTGGCTCTTGCTGCCTTTATTTTTCTCGGCATTGAGCCGCTATGAATTATTATATATGTATGTATTTGGCTAAGATATCGTCATGTAAAATTCAAAATGAAACGTATGGAAAACCCCTGTGCTTATTATACGAGACGTGCCTGGACCATTCATTGAAACTTACTCTGGTATTCCTACTATGTTGGTGCATGCATCTTATCTCATGAATTCCATCCGGCAGCGAACAACACCGTTCACTTTGACGCCTTCCAGTATCACCAAAAACCGTTATACGTGTATGACACATATCATTATTCCAATGCCTTTCTTCAGGTTCTAATGTAGATAATAATCTGTTGTACTAAATAAGATAGAGATTATAAATAGGGGGG